TGTACTCCTTGAACGGTAACCATGCGCCCAAATACATCAATGTCGTGTACTCCGACTGCGGTAAACATGCGCCCAAGTACATCAATGTCATGTAATTCCAAAAACACAATTTTCCGCCCGAGCACATCAACGTCGTGTATTTAAAAAAAAAATCCGTAAAAATTTCTAAATAGCTTTAGTTTGTTTGGAGCTTGTATATTACAATTGCTTAGATCTTCAAGCATGTCAGGTAAGTATTTATCATCAACAAGCATATATATAAATATATATCCTATATTCTCACACTTGAAAATACGTGCAGACAGTGAAGACGTCGAATTTTCTCTCGGCCAGTTCTCAGATTGCGACTCCGATGAGGAATTCTTGCGACACGAACACAACGACGATGATGACGAGAACCTGGTAACCTTTCCGGAAGATGAAGATGAAGAAGGCGCGGATGTGGATTCTGAAACCGAGTTGGGTGACCCCAATGAATACCCCGATGTACGTATATTATTTGTACATATGTATATTACTAAATAATTGTATTTTCCCCTCATTGATTCGTATTTCAGACCAATGTTATACGCTATCGTAAAAATGTCCCATTTACACCACAAGTTAGTGATTATGAGGATCCAGGGGAATTTCTAAAGCCGGAATTTATGGTCACGATGGAATCTACTGCTCTAGAGATTCTACAAAAATTCTTGGACCCCGAAATTTTGGATGAAATCGTCCTTCAGACAAACATGTATGTTCAATACCTAAAACGCGCGGATCGGAACACAATGAAGGATTGGACTGTGGTGAATGGTGAAGAAATGAGGCAATTCTTTGCCCTGGCGTTGATGATGGGGCTCATTATCAAACCGGAAATAAAGGATTATTGGTCTACTGATTCGATGTTTTGTACCCCATTTTTCGGTCAGGTCATGTCAAGGAATAGGTATATAACAATAAAATACAATGAATATTTATGTACACTACTTATCCTACCTATTTGCCTACTAGATTTGAGTTAATTCTTCGTGGATTCCATCTTGTGAATAATGACACCGTCCCACCAAACAATAAGGATCGGTATATAAAGTTTGGGAGTTTTATAGACAAGTTATTTCAAAATTTCCGCAAAGCAATAAATCTGGGATCATTTCTCACTGTGGATGAAACTTTGCTCTCGTTCAAAGGGAGGTTATCATTCAAGCAATATCTAAAAGATAAGAGAGCCAGATTTGGAATGAAGCTCTATATCCTCTGCGATTCGGCTAGCAGATTCGTGCTCAAAGTTCTCCCGTACCAAGGAAGAACGACCAAAATAGAGAATTCAAGCTGGATTCAAGAACTTGGATTCGGTGGGGCTACAGTGATGACTCTTCTTCGTGGCTATTTTAATAAATTTCATAGAATCACCCTCGACAATTGGTTCGTGTCTCCGACCTTGGCAATGCGATTGAAGCAACTGGTACATACATTCTTGGGACGGTGCAGAAAAGAAGAAAACTGATGCCGAGATGGACGGACAAATTAGCAAAGGGACAAGTTGCTACTTATTCTTCCTCTGACATTTTAGTGGAACGGTAAGCTTGTGCAGAGTTTACCAATAAACACAATACAATAATATGAACGTCAAATTTCAACAGAATGACATGAATAATTTCATTTTATGATTTTTAGGTGGTCGGACCGGAGAGAAGTGATTATGTTGAACACATTTATGGGACACCGAATGGAAGAAATCACTACCACAAACCCCAACAACAACTGAGAGAAACCATCAACTGTTCTCGTTTATAATGCGACAATGGGCGCTGTGGATAACGTCGACAGAGTCACTAAGCCCTTCACATATGTCCGCAAATCCTTCAAATGGTACAAGAAAATATTCTTCTACTTCTTGGACATAGCAATTTACAATTCGCACATCATTCACTCTTCTTTCCGGCCAACGAAGGAACACTCAAGTTATAAGGATTTTGTACGAATTATAATCAAACAAATATTAGAAAAATATCCACCACAACGTCGATCATTGGGGAGGAAGTCGAACACCCAGTTAGAGCGGCGAATCGGCACCCACCTTCCAGAAAAGATTCTAAAAGACGATGTCTCGGTCTTCCGGGACTGTCACCTCTGCGGTTTGGAAGGAAGAAGGTGCACCACAGCTTTCAGGTGTGAAAAATGTCTGAAATTTTTCTGCATCAAGAGCCAAGACTCGTGTTTCAAGAGATTCCATACACTTCCGAAACTACCTGTTAAAAGGAAACATGCTTCCGCTACTGCATCTTCAACAACGACCAGTCAAAGCCTCATGGACCAATCAGTACCTAGGTCAACTAACTCTGAAATTGGATCAGGATTCGGTGAAGCGAATGAAGTGAGATTTCAGGAAGCGAATTTTGAATCAAATGTTGAAGGAATGGAGGAAGAAGAACTGTTTTGTATTTAAAATGTGAAATTAATTGTGATTGTGTGAAAATATTTTGCCGAACTATGAATAAGTTTGTGAAATTTTATAATTCGTGATTTATAGTTGTTTTGCCGAGTTTTTCCGGCCTATATTCGAATTGACTATCATGATGTTGTATGGTGTTTTATTGTGAAAAAAATTGCTTCGCGGCATAAGTAATGATAATTAAAACGATTTCCACTTATCATATTATCAGTATCACCCTTGCATTAATTTGGGCTATAGCGTACTTGTCAGCATTTCATATCTTGGGTCGCAGTGAAAATGCTTCTCCAAGAAAAGTGGTACAAAACTCACGAAATTCAAAGGCTTATCTTGGGGGCTTAGCAACTATTTTATGGCTTCAAATGTGGCAGGCAACTGGTTAATGAATATTTTTTTTTACAAATTATGAATGAGTGAATAAGGAATGAATATTTTTTCAAGGCTTTGAATGAATGAACTTTGAATGAATAAATATGTTTTGAAAATGTATGTATGTAAATATGTATTTCTAAGGAGTAAGAAATCCTAGCATTCAGGATAACTTGTCTGAAATGACGGAATCTTCCAATCAAATGAAAGGAAATTCATACTAATTCACTATCACTCAAATTCATGAATTGAACAGTTACGCGTAAAATTGACCCGAATTTTTGCTGCGTATTTATGTATGGAAGAAATTAAAACTTGAAAAAATTATCCAAATTCTTACTTTTTACTAAATTTTTCTCAAACCCAAGAAACCCGTTGAGCAGGAGCAATCCGTCCTTCTCCCAGATGAACAAAGTAATTCGACACACAGCCGAAGACACGTACGCAATAATGATAACCGACCCTTGCAAAACTTTTAGGACAGGCATCTTGTCTCGGAATAGGTATAAATAGACACAAATTATGGTCAAATATAGGACGTGGGATAGCAGAGTGGCGTTATATATCCCTTTCGATTTGCGGCCTATGATTTTCACCGAATCTGAATTTCCATCGTATTTGTAGGGAATAGAGAAACTCAAATTGCTTAATTTAATAGCGTACACAAAAAAGAGAAAGTAAGACTGGCCCTTTGACAGCATTTTAGAAAGTGGAAACCTTAACAAAGTATTTTAAAAAATGTAACAAATTTGAAATTCTAGTTAAATCTAGACAGGAAATTTAAGTAAATGAAAATAATCACAGCGTATCTGGTCCAGCCTTAAAAATCGAAACTTCGAAATATGTATTTATTCATTTAAACTTAAAGCGTAGAAAGTACGATGATTGTTAAAATTTACTTGAAATTTAGTTCCTTCGACTTTCTCTATATTACAGGCACAATTTGCGGTTCACAATGTATAAATAGGTTACGGAACAAATTATTTTTGACATCCGGCTGATTCACAGCAAGATGCGCAATACATACATAGTTTGCTGTTTACATACTATCGTATTACATAAATAATCTCCTGTTACATAATGTCAGGAGTAATTAGTGGCAAAACAATTGATCTAATAGCCATGTATTTCATAACCGTTTATCACTTAAATACACGAATTTTGGCAACTATAATCAGTCCTCATCAAACATTACGTAAGGGTGTGTTGTGTATTTGTCTAGTAATTAATCAAGATTGCCTTATACATGTCGGCAATTAGCCTGAAATATGTTACCACCACTGGTCTTTCTGTCTCTGTTAATGAGTAGTCAGCCCACGCAAGTTACTGTATGATCCTCAAGTTGGTTAAAATGTCGTGCTGTGTCACAAACTACTGTAATTGTGTCAATTACATGAGGCCACGCTTAAGTTTAAGTGAAGTGATGCAACAACCATGTAACAAAATAATCAATGTTGTCTATATATTGAGTTAAGGTGAAAATATACATATCTAACCACTTGCCGTAAAATCGTGGGGTTGAGAAACGCACAAGAATTTATAAACTCCTTTCCCCACTCTTGTGTTTAAGGTCGCGCTCATTCTAATATCCACTATTTAATGTCTTAGTTAGCAAGAAACCAGGTAACTAAATTATTACCAGGCGGAGTATCGATGTGACTCTACCGCATGGTAATTTATTTATTATTGAGTGGTAGAAAATTAGTTACCAACTGGTAATATTTCCAAATGTCGCGACCAGGATTATTACCGGTTTGGTAACAAAATGTCTACCACTCAATAATAAATACATTACCATGCGGTAGAGTCACATCGATACTCCGCCTGGTAATAATTTAGTTACCGGGTTTCTTAGACTGTATCTGTACATATATGACTTTGCAGCAATACATTGCCGCCAAGTAATTTTACTACCACGAGAACTACGGATCTGTATCCCGGCGCGTGGGAACAATGACGTCCACTGGTCAATCACTTGAGATTAGTAATCTTCGAACTTTAAGAAGTGAATATTATGAAAAGATGTATTAATTTCATTTTCAATGTGATTGCCAAAAAAATTGCATGAAATTTTTCAGTCAAGGCTAAATTACAGGACTTGTAATGTTTTTGAATTCTTTTGCCAAAAAATTTATTCTTGTGCATATGTAAATAAATATGAACAGTCCGTAGTTTTCTCCTTAACAGCCAAAAACCCCGAACAACCAAAAAGTTTATTCGCCCGAAGTTACACTAATTGCGCAGGAAATTCAAATACGCACAACTATACAGTGAAGTATTCAGCCCTCGAAAATCCCCGTAATCCAAAGTTTCGAAATTTTTCCCACCCAAATTTTTTGAAAGTTGGGACTCGTCAATTTCCTCGAGCAAAAACTGTTGCCATTCTTTCTTGTTTCGACCAAAAATGTGTAACATGTCGGTAACATCCCTGGATAAAATACTTTTGTAGATGTCATAAATTGGAAGCGCTAATTCAGGGGCTGTTGGTTAAAATTAATTCAAACTTAAATATAATTAGTATAACGTGATAAATTGCAATGTGTACGTACTATTTATTGCGATAACCCTATGTGCGAAATTTGGGTAGTGTTGCTCATAAACGGCCAGAATGTGCACAAATATTGGTATACCTGTCCAAAAAAGGATAATAAAAATTCGCATAAAATTTAGCAAAAAAACTCGATATTTTATCTGTAATCGTTACAATTTTGTTACGTAAAGAGCAGAGTTAAATTGGTCGGATATTGCTATATCATGTCCGACCAAGACTTTTAAGTATGCAAAACTGCATACTGTGGGTCTAAGGTGACGATCACATATCGCGTTAAAGCTATAAAAAATTGTTACCCCTACATTTTTAGTTTTTACTCAAAATATGTGTATCTTATTGCTGGGAGTCATCCCATTTGTGTAAATCTCACTTTGCCCATTGTGAAGGACATGGACCTTCCACATTAAATGAACTCTCACGTCTAATGCATCAAATTATGCAAATGAGGTGACCCGCAACAATAATTCTGAGCAATCATATTCTGTGTGTGCCTCCCCTTCCATTCATTTGCAGATATTGGACGTTAACTGTCACCCATAGATAACGACCCAGGAGATATACCCAAATTGACCTGTGAAAATCTTACATCTCGCACATCCCTGTTGGATTAAGTTGAAATTTCCCATGTCAAAAATCATCGTTGCTTGGACAGCTCTTTGCTCATTTTTTTGAAACCATCTCGTCACCATGGCCGCCTCTTCGAACAGTTTGCTGAAATATCGCATGAGACGATCCGATTGGCCGGCGACGATGGCCCGACGAAGGTCCCAATCGCCGACCGGAAGTGAGAGGACGGGTCGTCCCGATTTATCACAGCCTTCAACAAGGACCCGATACTCGCGGTCGAAATCGGACCAGTCTTCTTGTAAAATGTGGTCAATATCGTTGTCCTCTCTCCACTGGACATCCTTCAAAAATAATTTTGAAATTTGGTTATTGCACATTCTGATTATTGAATAAGTATTTGCAGAAATTATCTACTTTCAAAAGGCGACTAGTTGCTCTAGATACATCAAACTTTTGATCTGTAGATTTTGAAAAAAAACACGAAATTATTGCAAACCATGATAACACAAAAGGTCGAAAATTAAATATGTGACTCTATTTAAACGTGCGAAATTTGGATACTTCTCGTGTAAAATCCGGATTTAAATGGTAAATATGTTATTTTAGAAATATGTAAATGCTAGTATGTAAATGCTTCACGTCTAACACATACATTGATCAATATATTTCACGAAATCAATTTTTTTACGCAAAACCAAGTTTTCAAACAAATCGGAACAAATCAGATTTGTTGTTCTGTGCATATATATTTATGTATTTACATGTATACAAAAAATTGTGTCATTGGCGTCCGAAAATCTTCATGGAACAATTTGTGTTTTGGAGTATGCATCAAGATCTACTTGTTCAAATGGACATACATATATTTTTTAATTAAATATGGTTGTTGACTTTCTATTAAATCAATACCCTCTTTGACTAAATTTGTGTACACGCTAAATAAATTTGATTCAAATTTACTCGATTTTGAGTCAAATTGCCACTAGCACAACTATTGTATAAAAGTTACCCAATAAAAGTTAAAATTTATCCAACTTTGAAAGATTTTTGCTCAACCTTGAGTAAATTTTACCTTTGTCGGGGTAAATTTTACACAATATTTGTGTTAATGGCAATTTTACTCAATTTTATGTACAGTGTACCAAAGTTGAAATCTTAACACATTTAAAACCATTATGATGATTTTATGAAAATTTATTCGCAATATAAGCTCACCTCTTAACCAGCGCATTAAAAAGACATCCTCCCTCATGTAATCGTGTGGTAGTTTGGAGCTAACTGCATCACGAAACTGCAAGTATTTAATTGTGCATAACTGAAAAATGTCGGAAACTATTTAAATATCTCAACTTGAGATTCTCAAGTATATATTAATTATGCATCTAATTACTAGCGTCACAATTATTTAGATCAGTTACTGTCTGCTTTTACAAAAGGCGATTAGAGATGGTTTGCACAAATTCATAATTTAATTATGCGATGGTTTTTGGTTGGAGAGATTTCTAACTTTTTTTATGTGAAAGCCCATGTCTCGAACTATAGGTAAACATATTTGGCTTCCGATTTTGTGTACTCTGCGAAATGAGGCAAGGTCAAATTTGGAGAGGTGTCCTTTTTTAGTTTTCCAAACCAGTGTTCTTATAAAATGGCGTCGAACAAAAGATTTTTTCTGAGGCCCTAGTGCAGAAATCGTCTTTGCGACTATTATCAATGGATTCAGCATGCTTTTCGCTATATAAAACCACTTTTGTCTCATGCTTATCTTTTAAGTCCATTTTGTTGTTTGACTTCATATTTACTTGTCCTATGGAATGCTCTCACGAACGCAACTCCTCGACTTTTAAGGCCCCCACATTTTAGGACTTTGGCACTAAAAATCCCAAATGTTGTTTATATCCAAGGTACATATAGTATATTGCACTGTAAGTACTTTTGATAAAATTTTGATAAGTGGTTACACCCCAGGAAATGAGTTTCCATCAAACCATATAAAATTTTTACAAAAGTTCTCCTCGAAATTGAAGCGGAACTTTAAAATTTTTTAACTAATCAAAACGCAGTAATTTTATTATTTTGTCACTTGTACCTTGTAGGTAAAATAGTTCTGCAGCAGGGGACACAAAAAAGTTATTAAAATTTGTTTTCAACAAAATTTGACTATTAATTTTCTAAATAAGTCCAAGAGTTTTTTAGGATTCCACGTCAGCTGATTAGCTCGGGTCCTTCTCCAAAACTGTTTACCCAAAATCTTCACTGTTTAAGTTAATATTACTTAGGACACTTAGAGCTTTGCCCTTAATCTTCATTTCACCCAGTCGGTCCGTTTTTAAGGTCAGGAGGTCAATTTCCCGGTGCACGGTCCGATTTATCACTTTTCATGGAAAAGTATCAGCGATGCTGGAGGGCCCACATTATTTTATTCATTACGGATTCTTTCATTATTAGATATAATCATTATCTGGGGTTATAATAATAATAATTTTTCACCTCTGACCTCTTTGGTTATCATGCCACATGAATAATTACAGTTTGGAAAGTGGGTTTTTGACACCTTCCAACTCTGGGGGCTCTGGAGGGGACATTTGTGAAGCTATCGCCTTAAAAATTTAGAGATATGTTTTTGAGAGTATTATCTTGCTTGTCTATCAAAATAAACTCAAAATTCGAGTGTGCACCAGAGATATTCAAGCGCAAAGTCGTGAAAACCATGTCTAATCGCCTTTTGTAATTGGTTTTACATCTAAGGGGTCAATCATAAATTAGGTAAAACAAAATACAAAAATCTCCATTTTCCAGAGTCCCCCCCCCTCCACCTCTTTAATATGTATGTATGTATGTGTAACATATTAAAAGATATTGGAGTTTTAAATCCCCCTCCCCCTTCTTAATTTATGGACGGCGTCTAACGAAAACCTCTATCTGAACCCATGTGGACATAAATAAAAAGCTCGTAAGTTGGATAATCCAGCTTGGGCTTTTTCATTCGTTAACTTGTACGTAAGCTTGCAAGATTTGCAAAATTTGCAAAATATGCATGTCGATATCTTTTCCTAGCACAACATGAAATCCATGCTCCAAGATCTACCATGCTTTAAATTTTCAGCACTAGTTTTCAAACTATTATTTCCTAAATGAGTGTATACGATTACAAGCATGGATAAAGTCTGACATCCTGAATACGTTAATACATACATACCTGATCCAGTGCATCTTTCTGGCTACTAGTCAAACTTACAAATTCATCCAGCGAAATTTGCAAGGAAATCTGAAAATAAAGTAATAACACTAAGGAATAAATGTTTCTCCCCATTGTTTAAAATCCTTAAAAATAAATATAGAATATGAACATGACGAAGAGAACTTGCACAAGGTCAGGAAACGAATATGTATATATTAGCATTATTCTTGATAACAACACATCCTACGTACTTTGTTGTACCTTAACCAGAAACGTTATAACCTGTTTAATCTGTTGTATTTAACCTGTTTAATATCATGCATGGATAAGAATGTGTTGTTATCTTTTATATTCTTCACATGCTAATAAATACATGCATATGTGTATGTGGTTGTTATAATTCTCAACCACTTTAAAAATACGGGAAAGAGCTACACTCTTAAAAATAATGTTACCGTTTTAAAAATTCAGAGGACTCTGAATTCTAAATTGAGAAAACTATCCTAACCTAAACCCAAAGCAACCTTTAGTCTTCAATAAATTAACATTACTCTATATTTAGTATAGTTTACTTTATTTAGAATGCATTTATTTGTCAAAATTTCAACGTTATTTTTAAGAGTGTAGTACCCAACGACTGGACAGGATTAAGCTCAAGTTTTGTGCATGTACATGGCCAGAGAAAAATTAATTACATGTGATGTTTAACACAATGTAGATAAATTCTCAGGTATGGGAATGCTCACTATTGCGTAATTTCTAGTAATTTACCACGAGAGTTCAGAGATTTTTATTGCTTATCGTCGTTATCGATGAGTTTATTATGTACGATATCACAGAGTTCCTCAATTATACAAGGAGTAAATATCTATGTCGAAAAATGAAGTACATTAAAAATCATAAACCTCTAGAAATCAGAATCAATGACCTATGAAAGACTAAATCGGGGAGAGCAATCTAAGTAAGAATAACAAAAATGTATCCAAATAAAAATAACTAATACAAGTTTTTCTAAGTACAAATAGAGGATGACTCCTGACACCGCAATTGGAAAAATTTAACCAACTGCTGGGGAAATTTTGAACAACTTCGCCATTTATACTTCAACCTTGGGTAAATATTAGCTATTTTTATTTTGAGTGTATCCATATATGTATGTCAAAGACAAAGAAAAAAATTGCTTATTATGAACAGATGCTTAATTTTACTTAATCGGTACGAGTTTGACAATTATTTCTTAGAAAATTACAAGGAACGGAAAATTTGTTCATATATATATAGATTTTGCCGTGTTTCGTGACTTGTTGAGCCGATTTAATCGTCAGATCTTGTACAAAATCGACATTTAACCTGATTCCATGTGTCCATCTCGTCTTTGATAATCCGGGAAAGACCCCAAGTATTTTTATCGCAGCTTTGTCCAAATTGGTTTTCCAAGTTGTAATCCTTGAAGGTACAGTACCATCCTTCGAACCAAAACCGGCATGTCGGGGTGGAATACTCGCTCTGCCGATAAGATAAGGTAATCGAGTCGCTTGCCCCGGCTTGTTTGGCGCAATCTACGTTGACTTTCTTCACGGAAGGATCGCATGTCATGAACTTGTACGTGGATACAGATCCTGAAAATTCAGGAAGGAACATTTAAAAAACACCCTTGAAGTTTGCTAAATTCAGGTTTAGCTAATTCCAGAATACTATTGTGGCCTACGCATTAAATTTAGACTCTTCGTGCATGTTTTTCTTATTGAAAAAAGGTCCAATTATAAAATGCCAGCGATAGTTTTTCTCAGCATAAAATAACCTTGCAAGAAATTGGTTTCTGTTAGCATGGTATTACATAAACCCCGATTCACGTTACTTGAGTCTATCACACTAGCCTAATTATTTTATTATTTGACACCAGTTATTTTTATTTTGGTGTTTAAATTATTCAATTTCGTATGTATGATTTACACGTAAAAAAAGATATAACTGGTGTCAAATAATAAAATTATTCGGCTCATTTGGCTAATGTATGTACTCAATTTGAGGAACTCAAGTAACGTGAGACGGACTTTACTTCTTGTACGAGTGGGAGAAATCCACGAAATAAGCGCCATCTTTGGTAGCGAATCTAGCCTTGAATTACATAAGTGTGGTGGATGGCTAGGTGGCGCCAATTTCTAGCATTTCTTGCACCCTGTATTGTTGGGTCTAGAAATTGCTGAAAAACTAAATATTATTGAGAAATACATATGTCATAAATAAATAGATTCTCACCTCTGTATCTGGCATTTAGAGGAGGACTGGCCAGCAAAATAAGTATGCAGGCGAATATAACAAAATTCTCGGGTAACATTTATTCAAATACAGCAGAAAAAGTTTTTGACAAGTAGACAAGAATTTTAAAACTTGGTGGTATCGTGTCCACACACAAGTGACACAAGATTGTAATGTGCATAAAATGAAGTGTAGTTAAATTCAGTACTTAATTGGGTTATGTAATTTACATTATAATTCACAGGATGTGCTTTTTCATTGTTTATAATTTATGACAACGTATGCCTATATCCGGCTACAAACTTATCATCGAGTCATGAATGGCGATGTTAATATTTCATGTGGAAATCTACATATTAAAACTAGCTACATATGTATGTAAATACATAGATAAATAAGTGGCCGAATACATACACTCTAAATAAAATCATTACCAAATCATTACCAAAATGCACACGTATATGACTCTGCAGAAACGGTAATAATAACCACCGGCTGGTAAAGAAATTGATTGAACCCGAAGTGGTAATAAAGAACACTTTTCGGGATAAAATTAACACCATGATGTATGACAGATGTACTACAATATGTTGTAAAATGTCTACCGCCAGGTAATAAACCGTACCACTTTGTATACGGTGTGCTATTCATACCGGTATTAATGCTTTGCATTACGTATACCCCATTATTACCAAATGTTGTGCAGATTTCCACCGAAAAGAATAGATTTTTTGCTTTTCTTTACAATAATCTTTTAATCAATTATATTCGTTGTAAAATCATTTTAAAACATACTTACATAATTACAAAATTTAAGAATAATGCAAACTATTGAGTTACATACATACATATACATATTTACATATTTATTCTTCTATTCCCCCTTCAAATTCTGATAAATCGTCGATTTTGGATGAGTCCACATCGGTTGACGTCATCAAATAAAATGTCCTGCAGATTAAAAATTCACAATTTTTAGAAACTCTCAATACAAGAGCAAATTTAAATAATTCACGAAATTTTCACTCACCAGACCGTCCCCTGACTTAGAACATCTCAATGAAGGCAGTAGCTTAATTATTACAGCTGTTAAGTGTTTCTGGTCGGAGGTTGTAGGAGAAAGTCTGAAATTTAATTGGTCAAATTAAATATATTATTAAATATTAAGAATTCTTAAGCGTCTCAAACTTTCACCTCAATTACATAACTACGCAACCAATTCATTAACTAAAGTTGTCGACGACGGTTTATCGAAGCAGTTTTTCTGATTGCACTCTGCTACTAAACGGAAATTTCAGCGCTCTCAGTCGTTGCAGCGTTTACAATCTTCAAAAATTAAAAATAATTTTATAATTATTTTCGGATTTCGGATATCTAAGAATATCATTAAATGATTGTAACCTGACTGAAAATATCAACCTCATTGGAAATTTGGGTTTTTCGGAAACCATTACTGGATATCGACGTCTCATCATGACGTGCAACTAGAAAGATATAATATGTTGCAGACTAGAAATAATTTAAGCTTAATAAATTACTGACCGTAAATTATTGATGAAACTGGACAGGCCGGATCCAATTTTACTTCGGTTTGTATTTCGCCTTTGACAAAGAATTCAAAGTTTTGGGTTATAAGGTTTTCAGCAAGGATAGGAATACTTCGTCGTCGATCTCCGCCCCCTTGGTCGTCTTGCAGAAAAATCTCTGCTCCGATTTCCAACTCAAATTTTCGTTTCACTGAAAAAATAAACATAAGGTTGTTATTTACTCGTTCCTATTAACATGGTGCTCGATCACCATCTTGATAAGGAACCTACCTATGATAATTTTATACTTACCTGTTTCCTAAAATCCTATTTAATTTCCAAAACTTTTTATCAGTTTTTCCCACATGCAGAATTTGGAATTGGACACGGGGATTATTTCGGCATGTTGACTTGAGTTGAGCTGAGCGGAAACTAAAACTGAAAAAAGCGCCGCTGCGTAGCGTCTCACAATTCATACAAAATGTATTAAAATTCTTACCTCTGTGGTAATAAACTACACCAAAATGTAGATCTCATCAGCACCACAACGGAAAAAATTTGTACTGCACTTGATTAAAATTATGGTAAAGAGTGCTATATAAGTTTGAACGACATTATTACTAGCTGGTAGAAATTTATTACCAAAATTATAAAGATAGCTTAAAATATTGCGGTGGAAGGCTAGTTACCCGTTTGGTATTGATACGGTAATAATCCCGTATACTTTTTGTAGGACGCGTAATTACCAAGAGCTCGGTAAAGACGCTTATTAGGAATTCTTTACCAAGTTGCTAAGAGTGTATGTCTTTTGATCCGTGTTTGGATACGCGAATTGGTCAAGAAAATGACAGACATTTCTGCACAACTGATCCAAAAACTTGCTTCTGTTGAAGAAGATGGCAATGCTTCCAATGGAAATTATTTGATAATTACACGGAATTACTATTTTATTGTTTACAATAAGAAACCGGGTAGATTCAAAAAATTCCCTAATTACGAAGGCTATCCAAGTAGGCACAAGTATACAATGAAGTATTCATCCCTCTAAAATCCCCGTAATCTAAAGTTTCCACATTTATTCCACCCAAATTTTTCGAAAGTTGGGACTCGTCAATTTCTTCCATTAAAAATTTCCCCCACTTTTTCTTGTTTCTGCCAAAAATGTGTAAAATTTCGGTCGAATGCTTGGACAAGATTCCTTTGAAGATGTCGTAAATTGGGAGTGCAAATTCTGGAGCTGTTGTTTAAAATTATGTCATTAGAAATTTGAAATAACATGCTAAATTGTAACACATACTGTTTATAGCGATACACCGATGTGCAAAGTATGGATAGTGTTGCTCATAAACGGCCAAAATGTGGAAAAATATTGGTATACCTAGTACAAAAGGTTGATAAAAATTCGAATAAAATTATGTACGTCCGTTTCGTTTAATACAATTATTGCAGGTTTTCGCATAACGACCACCAGATTTCAATTCTTTGTCGGATATTCCTATATCATGTACGACCAAGATGTCATAAGACTTGCTTGTTGTTATAAATCTTTAGCTTCAAATCATTGTGGCGGGTTACCTCATTTGCATAAATCTCACTACGCCCATTTTATACGGCTTTATGCATACGTTGAGTAAGCTCTACGCCTCAGGAAACGACATAGGAAATATCCGACCAAGAATTGAACTCTGGTAACAAATCTCACATCGTGCACATCCCTGTTGAATTAGGTTGAAATTTCCCATGTCAAAAATCATTGTTGCTTGGACAGCTCTTTGCTCATTTTTCTGAAACCATCTCGTCACCATGGCTGCCTCTTCGTACAGTTTGCTGAAATATCGCATGAGACGATCCGACTGGCCTGCGACGATGGCGCGGCGCAGGTCCCAATCGCCGACCGGAAGTGAGAGGACGGGTCGTCCCGTTTTATCACAGCCTTCAACAAGGACTCGAAACTCACGGTCGTAATCGGACCAGTCTTCCTGTAAAATGTGGTCGATATCGTTGTCCTCTCTCCACTGAATATCCTTCAAGAAAGATTATGAAATATATTGAACAATGTACTTTTTGGATTAGTTATCACTGACGGAACTGACTTTTAAAACACGATTTGTTGCTCCCAACACGTCAAAATTTTGTTCTGCATATATTGGAAAAGCAAAAAGTTATCATTAACCATAGCCGAATAAAATAACACTGAAACTTTTTAATTAAATATCTATGTGACACAAAACGGGCGGTCGAAATGTACAAATTTCTACCGTCAACCTCGTGTCGGATTTTGATTGTGAATATTTAAGATATTGTATTTATTATAAATATTCGAAATATAATCTCACCTCTCAACCAGCGCATTAAATATACATCTTCCCTCATATATTCGTGTGGGAGTTTGGAGCTAACTGCATCACGAAACTGCAAGATTGAATTGTGCATAAGTGAAACATGTTATTCTGGAAAATAAATTTCTTAGCTTTTAAGTATAAAGTATTTATGTAAATGTAATCAATTAGTTAATAACTATCTGCTAATTAGTGAAGACAGTAACGACAACCGAAATACTATCCTCGCATTTAGGCGTGTCACCTCATTTGCATAAATCTCAATAGCCCATTTTCGGCGATATGGGCTTTCCATGTTGAGCAAACTCTATGACTCTCACGAATGCGTTAAAATATGCAAATGAGGTGACAGAGCCGAGTACGAGGACAGTACATGTGAGTTGAGCACGCCAAGTTCTGGGCAAGCTTGTAAAATTTGAGTACTTTTTTCCTCAAACAATATGGAATTCTTGCTGTCAAACTTACTCGAAAACTGTGCATTATTCAAGACTTTTTTCTAAATGAGTTTAAATATGATCCGAAATAGTGTGATACGCATACCTGATCCAGTGCTGCTTTCTGACTACTGGTCAAACTTACAAATTCATCCAGCGAAATTTGCAACGAAATTTGAAAATAAAGTAATAACACTATGGAAAACTTGGAATAAATATTTCTCCCCATTTTATAAAATCCTTAAACAGTAAATGTGAATTCTGAACACGACGAAGGTCAGGAAACGAATGCAATCAAGAATATCAAAATTAATTCCTTATCATAACATACATATCCACGGAATTGTTCTGCACCTCACTCAGAAAAAGTTATAACCTGTTTTAATATCAAAAATATCTATGTAAGTTATAGGTATGTGTTATTATCTTTCGTGTTGTTCACATGCCATGCACATACTTTTGCCTATGAAAGTATTTAGCTGGCATACTTAATCTGCAACAATACGGGAAATAGTTACACTCTTAAAACCAATGTGACATTAAAAAGTAAATGCACTCTAATTTTGGTTGTCTGTAATAAAGCCAAAGTAAATTTTCCTCTTTATCAAGTTTACGTTTATGTATATGTAATTAGTGTAGTTTACTCCAGATTTGTGATTGTTTACTTAATATAGTGCAACTAAATACTTTTCAAAAGGTGGCATTATGTTTTAGAGTGTAGTACACAACCCCTGGACAGGATTAAGCTCAAGTTTTATGCATACATACATACATGCCAGAGAAAAAATAATTATGTACATGTAATGTTTAATAAAATATCGATGGTGTGGGAATATTCACTATTGCGTAACTTCGTACTTATTAGCCACGAGAGTTCAGAGATCTTTATTGCTTGTTGTTGTTATTGATGAGGTTGTTACAACATCGCCGGGTTCCTCAATTATGAAAAGATTATGTGTACATACATACATATTTATGTATGCGAAAAGTTAAGTCGGTGTGCGTTACAGATTATATAGCCCTAACCTCGAGAATCCTGAACCATGACCTACGACTACATCGGGGGAAAATTACAGTAATTTATGCTTGCTTCAAGTTCGCATTTACATAATTAATGCTGCTATGCAAGACGACAACAATGTTTCGTGATTTCCATGTTATCTAACCAATTGTTATGTTTGATATGTAATTCCGTTGTTAGGGACATTTTTTGAGTTTCATGTATATTGCATACATATTTCATATAACTTTTTTGCACGGAGATTACATACCAAGTGATCCGTCATCATGAACATCCCACATTAAACAAAGTTTCCAACTCATTAAGGACTATGCAATGGTAAATGTATACTTGTGGTGTAAGTGTTTACCTACTCGTGCAATAAATAGATTCACATACAATTTAGTTCATATACGTAGAGAGGACCAATATGAATGGGGTTCGCCTGGATAGCGTTAAAATTCTGGGGTTTATGCATGGTTCGGAAAAACCCGGGTTTTACTGGGTTTTCCTGGGTTTTACTCCATATGTTTGGGGTGAAGTAATAAAGCTTACAACGTCACGTTAATTTGTTAAATTAATGAATTTTATCAAGATTTATTAAAAAACTTCAATTCAAAATGCCAGAAACACAGGAAAAATACGAATTTGATCAAACTCCAAGTTAGGCTGTAAATTATGATTTTTAGATCATAAATAAAAATTCTAAATAAATAGAGAAATTTACGGAATATTAATCAGAGTACTTAATTCGAGTTAGATATGCACCTGCAAACCGATTCTATTGATTTATCTACTTGAATTTGAGATAAAACTTAGTAAAACCCGAGTAAAACCCAGTAAAACCCGAGTAAAACCCTTTTATCATAGTAAAACCCAGCGGGTTTTACCGATTTACGACCCAGTAAAACCCAGTAAAACCCCAAAACCTCAACCCAGTAAAACCCGGGGTCGGAATACCCTGGGTTTATGATTTTTTTAAATATAGATTAACTGGGGTTCAGTTAAGGCTATTGAGAAACATATTGAACGGGAAACTGATGAGTTGGTGAACAGATGACATTAAGGACTATGTTGTTTTCACAATTTATGTAAATCATCACCCATAATGTTTGCAAGCACATAATTTATGAAATATTTCATTACGAATGAAATATGTAAATATGTCTCACGACAATATTATTCTAAATTTGTGCACATAAACGAACATAGATATTTATTTTTGCGATTAAACAAGAGGCTTTAAATATTTAATTTTTTATTACATTATTACTTGACCAACAACTTTACTAACAAAGACCAAAATTATATTATTATTTACATCATGCAGTACAATTATGCTTGTTTTCGGAGTTAGTAACACTAATTTCAGATAATCAATTAAAGGGATACTAAACATACAATTTCAATGAAATTTGATTCTATTAAATCATAGTCATTTATAAAAATTAAATTCATTAAATCATATGTAATCATTTATAAAAATTTAATTCCTTTATTTGTTATCCTATCTTGCACGGTATGGGAGTATAGTCATTCAAAATCACAAAATATAATTATTTTCTTATAGATAAACTAGAGATGTGCAGGGCCGACATTTTTCAAAGCCCGCCCTACCCAATACCCTACTTGAAAAAGCCCTACCCTACCCTGCCCTATAGGGTAGGGTATAATCGAAAACCGGGCCTGCCCTACCCGGAAAAAATAAAGCCCGCCCAAGCCCTACCCTAGATTTTTTTAACCAATAAAAGCCCTACCCTACCCTATAGGGCTTCGGGCCCAGGCCCTATTTAATGATTATTTATATAAATCGTTTAATGCAATGATATATATTATATAACAACTGAAATATTTAATATCAATAAAATTTGAAAGTGACATTAAAGCATTTGACAAGAATGGTTCAATAATTTTTGTGAATGAAAGTTAATTCTGATAAGGTTCCAGCCGACAACAACGTCCTTCCTTGGCGTACTTGTTGCCCCTGTGCTTGAAAATACTCGTTCATCTGTAGATTGTGACGCAGGAATTGCAAGCAGTCTTTGGGCAATTTTCTGCAAATGAGGAAACTTTGTGGCGCCACACCAAAATCCGAGAATGTCAAAGTGGACTTGAGATTCTTTTTCCTTGTCGCTAATTTCTTAAAAACGAAAAAGAATATAAGAATATAAGAATATTTGTTAAGAATAAGTTCAAATGGATTTTGCCAAATATCTTACCACTGATAAGAAGCTTCTGGTCCGGGGTCAGTAGGTCTTGGTTTCTCAAAATGACCTGCGTCTTTGCCAGCCTGATCTCTTTCTTTCTCGATTTCTCCCATTATGAGTTGCTTCATTTCCTTCCGGGCTTCCTCTTATTTTTCTTCAGACGCGAATTTAAGTTTGCGAAACCTTTACAAAATCGGACATATTATTGGGGCGCCCCACTGTATGTTATGCTACATTTGATGGCTTACTTTGGGTTCAATAAAGCTGCAACATAGTGCATAGTAGAGGTTTTACAATATTCAGCAAAACAAATCATAGCCTGTCCTTTGAGCAGTTTCAATTCATCCGAATCATCCTCGTTTATCTCCAAGTGTTGATGTAGCTTATGGAACCAGGGTGCAATTTGATGTAGAGTTGGCTGACTATCCTGGCTGAAAACCTTTGTGCACTCTTCAAACGGCCTTAAGAAATCCACTAATTCTTTAACACTTTCGTTGTCGATGTTGCTTAACTTGTTTATTTTCCCGTTCTGTAGAAGTAAATTTTGTACTTCGCTACAGAGCGTGAATCAAGATACAAAACTCACTTTTGTTTTTGAGATAACAAGTGTTAGAGACATCTGGGATTATTGAAATTTGTATGCACCGTACCCAGATAGTCAAGGAACAGTTTGCAAAATAACTCTTAGCTCTGTGCATCAACATGCCCCCACTCCCCCCCACGGAGTGCAAGGTAGCCGTAAAAGGGTTTTCCAATGATGAATTGTACCATAAAAAATTCTTAAGAAAGTGGCGACAATTGAATTCAATGCCAGTAGAAGTCATGAGTCCAGTGTATCAAATGACACTAGCATAAAGAAGCAGGGATCATTGGCTGGAGTTCCACCTCCACCAAAGTGGGGTCTAAGATCGCCTAGGATCGAGGATGAGTTGTACTATATCGCAAATTTCATCAATAAGGAAAATCCGTCATGACAGAAAAGTATCCAAAATGTTGGGGGTGAGTCAGGCAATAGTTTTTGGGGTCAGTCACTCTGATCTAAATAGATTAAAGCGGAGGAGGACCTTGTGTACGTCCCCACGCCGTCTTACTTCAAGTTTTTCGAAGCAACTTCGCGATAACTGAAGGAAAACTTAATTTCCAGAAATAAATTTTTCACTGAAATTACTCTTGACGAGTGGCATGACATTATTCAGATAGATTATTTTGGATTTTGGTACTTAAAGCAGAGATTTTTAAGCGGACGTCTCGGGCGCTAAGTGGGTTTTGGAAAACGTTTCAAAACGGGTAGAACAAAATCACTCCAAAAAAGTGTCAAAGGTGATAATGGCGTGGAAAAAGCGATTGCACCTCGTTTGACAAACTAATGGGCTACACATTGAAGCAATTTACAAAATTCACAAACGAAAAATAAAGCTGTAGGAAAATAAACAAAAGTGAGTTTTGTATCTTGATTCACTCTCTGTAGCTGCCTTTAGATATGACTCCAACATAATTAACTCGCTATTCCATCTAGTGGCAACTTCTTGCTTAAGTGTGGATGTTAGTTTGGAGTTCAGCGAAGACTGCTTGAAGTAGGTTACCACATCTTTAATTGACACTAGGGCGCCCTAAAATAAAACTGAAATTGTAGATTATTCTAACACTCCAAATGACAAGTTTTGATAAAAATGCGTACGTGGAATCGCGGACAACTTTCCTTGAACGAAAAAAATTTTTTGGGATGAATTTCTCGGCCATTCTTTTCGGCATTAGCTACTTGTGTAGCTGTTGGCGTGGGTTTTTTATTGAACATCCCCTCCACGCACGTATTTAGACGATGACAAAGACATGGCTCTCTTTTTTCAAAAATATGCAGCATATTAGAACCGGAGTCTGTGACAATCCAAGAGTTTGTCATAACGTCGTCGACGTTGTTGCCAAAAAACTTGGATAAAATTGGGCGACATTGTTGTCGGATGTTAATCGTTGTTTTATGATCTTCAGTAAATTCGTCAACCCCCAACATATGCGATGTCAGCTTCCAATTATTGTTGATGTAATGAATTGACAGTGATAGAAAGCTTCGCTGTCGATATTTGTCGCTCCACATATCTGATGTAAAAGCAAAGAATGGAAATTGCGGTGCCGCACCAACTAGCATTGAAATATCATTTCGCTTCGCATCAACTAGTTTATGAAGAAATTCTCTTTTTAAAGTAGTTCTATGCTTCAATATTGATTTTGGATCTTGATCTCCATACATTGCGCCAAAATGTATCAATGATTTTGCTATTTTTAGAAATCCTCTAGAACCTACTGAATTTAGTGGACGAAGGTCTTGAGCCAACCCTATCACCACGTCTTCATTCAATGCTGCAACTGCCCCCGATGGAACGTTTTTTCTTAGGTGAGGCAAAAGTAACAATGGGTGCCCGCAAAAAAGCGTCACCATGGTTACGGCGAAGCCTAAGTATGCTTTCGTATACACCCTTTGAAACTGTCAGCGAGGCTAGAGCCTAAACGGTTAATCCTACGCAAATGGTGTAAAGAGCAATCGTGCAGAGGAGAATTAGGAGATGTGGTTTTTCAATATGCCCGATAGAAAAGTTTTATTCTTCGCTCTCAAATTTGGATTTGAAACTTTACAATCAAAATTTGAGACACTTGTGTCAAAGGACTATATGCATAAAACCTGATTTGATCATGCAGAAATCGGTTGTGCGTCATTTAAAACAAATCCGACTGAGATCGGTCCAAAACTGAAAAAGTTTTGATGGAAGCATCTGAAACCATTCATGTTGCTAACCAAAAATTACAATATTCCTAGTTGGTTGCTACTAGCTATCAATATAACAATTTTCCAAATGCAAGTAGTTGTGTTAGGCAATTTTAATTTGCCAAATTAATTGGTCAATTGTAATTTCCATTTTTGGCCAATCGCACAAAAACTTTCCTCCTGATCAGTGTTGGGCACGATTATTAATCCATATTAATTACAAATTCTTTTGCAAATTCAAATTTCAATAATTTTATATTTAAGTACTGTGTCAAATTTACAAATTTTAAATTTGAACATCCTATATGCATATATTTTGGATTTAAATGTTTATAAGTTTATTTTGTAATTTATTAATCTAATCCAGATTAAATAATCTTCCTCCCTAATCCAGATTGTTCTTGTGAAATAACTAATCCCCATAAAACCTAATATCTGAAAAATTATTTTCTGCTAAATTAATTTAAAAATTTGGATTATTGATCCTCAATCCGTTTTTAAATTAATTTTGCGACCCTCTGTACATATTTTCAACTAATTTTGTAATGAAAAAGATTCAAGACATTCGGTCTTCAAAAAGTTTAACAATTTTGAGGTGCAATTAATTGTCTGCAAATGTGCATCACCTAAAATCCATGAAATAAAATAATTTTAAAAAAGCTTGCTTAGGCGAGGCGCTGCTAAAAGTGAAAAACAAGGCCTCTGGGAATATCTTTTAAATATCTCGTACCTTTATCATTGTAACAGGAGTTGGTGACTTTGCATCACCGCGAGGCCAAACATTTTACGCCAAGCCTCTAGTAATAAAGAATATATTCTCAAGAATTCCCAAGAACCTAACTAATCTGGGTTCACGTCAAAATTATCATTCATCACTTTTTAGTTCGTACTAACAACTAGTTGTTTTAATATGTAAATAAAATTAGGAAATACCCTCGCGTTGTTATTCGTGCGTCGGCATCTTAATTTTTTGCATAACACCTATTGAAAATTGTGCACATCCATCAAATTTTATTAGCTACCTGAATTACTGGTTAACTATCGAATTTAATTATGAGCTAAATAAACATTATTGATCATATTGGTCCTCTGCATAATAATTTTACAAAATCCACTCAATTTTATAACCCTTTCGAAGCAATAAGTTTGTTTAAGCGTTTATACATATAGATACAATTTTAATTAGCAATAATTGAATATCTTAGCAGAAAGTGTAAGTAATAAACGTCGTGGTATGGTAAACGGTAAAAATGTTTGGCCTCGCGGTGAGACAAAGTCACCAACTCCTGTTACAATGATAAAGGTACGAGATATTTAAAAGATATTCCCAGAGGCCTTGTTTTTCACTTTTAGCAGCGCCTCGCCTAAGCAAGCTTTTTTAAAATTATTTTATTAAACCAAAATTTAATGTCGTCTGGTTATTACTTGAGCTTTTGGACGATTTTGGTGCAGCGCTGCATGCAGAATTTTGGTGTCTTGAAAGAGCCGTCGTTCCGTCCTTTAGCCTGTATGTCAAGCATTTTTTACATGACACACATCGAACTACATCTGTGTGCTTGTTGTCCACGAGAACTTGCTCAAAAGTATTCCACACATCTGACTTAGAAGATTGTGATTTTAATTTTTTATGAAATGTAATTCTTTTACTATTATTTGATATCAGTTTTTCAATATCAGATTTTACAAGCACTGGATCCACGACTTTAAAGATGGCGATGTCTGTTTCGGTGGATGGTGTGCTGTCTGTATTTCCACTTCATTCATGGGAAAATCAATATTTTGATTCGACATCCTAAAAAAGTTCGAAAAATGTCAGCTGGTGATTAAATTAACTATATGGGGCGCCCCAATTACCTTAGATTGCATTGAGCCACAATGTAGATTGAGAATTATTAGTAACTCAGCGACTTTTGAGCTTTGCGAAGTTTAAATTATTTATTTATTTTTAAAGAGAAATCCCATCAAAACGTTAAATAAGTGAACATCATTCGGATAATGTGAAATATGCAGTAAAAATGCAAAGGAAGAAAAATAATTAACTTCAAATCTCGCGTCTCATTTCTGATGCCCCACTCTATGACTGACTACGCTATTTTTTATTTTTAAAAACAAAAAGAAAAAGCCCTACCCTGCCCGACAGCCTATTTATGTACATGCAAAAAAGCCCTACCCTACCCTTAAAAAGTAGTGATAATGAAAGCCCGCCCGCCCAAAGCCCTATAGGGTAGGGCAGGGTAGGGTTTTTTAAGGGTAAACCCTACCCTATGCACATCTCTAAGATAAACACGTGTCAGTTTTGAGTGTTTAACACTAGAATACATTCCTATATACATCATGCGCTGTAATCGACGATCATTTTTTTCATAGGTGTTTTTTTGCACTGGAGATTATTTCCACTGGGGATTTTTTTCGGAAAGGTGGTTTTTCCGGAAATCGATTCAAAATTCTAATCACGGAGGAGATCTATATTCGCACAAGTATACATAGACGTGTTCAGCCCTCTGAAATCCGCGCAACACTTCGGTAACATGTTTGGACAAGATACCTTTAAGGATGTTAGAAATTGGGAGTGCAACTTCTGGAGCTGTGGGTTAAAATTGCATACGTACTTATTTTACATTTATGACATTTATGACCAAATTGCAATAATTTGGCACGTACTTTTTACATAGACAAGCCGATGTGCAAAATATGGGTAGTGTTGTCCATAAACGTCCAAAATGTAGAAAAATATCGATATACCTGAAATAATAAAATTTGCAAACACGTCTAATTTTTTGCACAGCCATAAATCTTACATACATCGTAGACATCCCTGTTGAATTAAATTGAAATTTCCCATGTCGAAAATGATCATTCCTTGCGTCGCATTTTGCCCATTTTCTTGAAACTTTCTCGTCAAAGTGGACGCCTCTTCGAACAGTTTGTTGAAATATCTCTTGAGACGATCCGACTGACCGGCCACGACGGCTCGTCGGATATCCCAGTCGCCGACAAGAATTGAGAACACGGGTCGCCCCGATTTATCACAGCCTTCAACAAAAACCCGATATTCACGGTCAAAATCGGACCAGTCTTCTTGTAAAATGTGGTCAATATCGTTGTCTTCTCGCCACTGAACGTTCTTCAGGAAAAATTTGAAATTTTTGAAAAATTGCATATTTGGATTATTGACTACATAATTGCAGAAATTAATTTTTTTAAATTATATATTTGAATTGTTTATCATTCGAAATTACTTACTTTCAAAATGCGACTTGTTGCTCCGGACACGTCAAAGTTCTGTTCTGTAATTTTTTAAGAGTATCAAAAAATTGTATGTGGCCAATAAGAATTTGAAAATCTCGACTTTTGCATGCAACGCACAGGCATCTTGTTCATTCATATATGTAAATTGGAATAATTCCGATTTCAACTAAATTTTCAGAATTTTTTTTAGCTTAAAATACATATTAACCAGCGTATTAAGTAGACATCTTTCTTCATGTATTGGTGTGGAAGTTTAGACTCGACTGCGCTTCGGAACTATGCAAATTAAAATATTGCGCTTGAAATTATATATACACAATTAAAATTCGCATGCCTTATGTTATCGCAAGTTCTAAATAAATTAGGTATATATGTTGCTATCCAGCTGCATATGTATTTACATATAGTTGTTCATAGCCAGTGGCCGCAGAAGCGTGAGGACAGAGGGGCAATGTCCCCATTATCTGACCATGATGTATAAACCCCGCCCTCCCTTATCCTACCATGTTAATGTTCCTAAGATGTCCTCACGGCTTCTGCGGCCACTGTACATAAATATGTACATATCATATCTTCATTTATATTGAAATCATTTCTATTAATACATGAAACTAACATGTACATACTTGCCAGGAATTTGGGACATTGCATAAAACTTATTGCATTTATTTATATATACATACCTGGTCCAGTGCGATTTGCAGATCTTTGCCCCCCATTAAAAGCTACCCATGAAATGCTACCCATTATATGCTACCCGTGATGATCTGCTACCCATGAAATGCTACCCATTATATGCTACCCGAGATCATCTGCCCCCCATCATATCCTACCCGACCCATTTTCACTTTCTTCTTGCAAATTAAACCAACATGGATACCCCGTTTTGCGTCGTAGTGCAACATACGAGTTACTGTTTATTTACGCAAAATTAGTCAAATAATAAATTCTCAAAAAACGAATCAATACATAAAATCTCGTAAAATCAGCCGAACAATAAATTCTCAAAAAACTAATCAAAACATAAAATCTGTTAAAATCAGTGGAGCAACGAATTTATTATTTGACTGATTTTACGAGATTTTACATAGTCTCAACTTAAAAAGTGACAGTAGAGCAGACGACTATATTAGGTTAGTTTTTAGGAATACGTCCGAAATTAATTGACAAACTGTATCATTCCCGAGTCAGAAATTTATAAGATGACATTTGAACAGGTTACAATTGAGCTGAAATTTGGTACAGAGGTTGTTAATGGATCCTAATGGAAGAATATGAATTGAAATTCAACACATTTTCACCTGAACAGACACTATGGGGTGACCCATACCAATTTTTCAAATTCGTCAAATCGAGCTGAAATTTGATAGACAAGTTGGTAATAGCTCCTGATGAAACAATATGAAGTAAAATAAGAAAAAATACATCTGAAGGACCTTAATGGGCGACCCATAACGATTTTTTGAAATTCTATTATCGAGCTGAATTTGTTAAATAGCCTGCCAATCATTATAAATAGAAGAATGTGAATTTAAATTGGAAAAATCAATCTAAATTTTAAATTTTTTGAAATGCATTTACGATAAAATGTCATGCAAAAGTCGGATTGAATGTAAATATGTGTGCAGCAACAAAAGTATAACCTAGCCACCCGCGTGGCTGGAATTTACTTATGTTACGTCGAATATTAGTAGGATAATATTCTGAGAGTTTTAGGAAAAACTATTCGCTCGTTAAAAAGTTATGGTCATGGTCAATACTGGTGACCAGTGGATATCACTATATCTTTTAATATGTTCATGTGCATTTACGATAAAATTTCATGCAAAAAAAGTCGAATTAGAGTGATAATCACAACTAGGCCTGACTCGGGCTATATCAAGTCTGCACTGTAGGTTTTTAACATTGGTCAGTATAGCGAAAATTCCAGAATTTGTGAACAAAAATATCCAAAAAAGGCAACTTTTTACCATCGAGTTTTCCACAAAATACCAAAGAAACAATCGTATTTTGAGAAAATTTGAGAAATTTGCATTATTTTCAAATAAGTGTTATGACGTACTTTGTCCTCAAGATTTTATGTATTGATTCGTTTTTTGAGAATTTATTATTTGACTAATTTTGCGTAAATAAACAGTAACTCTTATGTTGCACTACGACGCAAAACGGGGTATCCATTTTGGTTTAATTTGCAAGAAGAAAGTGAAAATGGGTGGGGTAGGATATGATGGGGGGCAGATGATCTCGGGTAGCATATAATGGGTAGCATTTCATGGGTAGCTTTTAATGGGGGGCAAAGATCCGCACACCGTCCAGTGCTGTTTTCTGGCTAGGACTCAAAGTTGCAAAATCTTCAAGCGATATTTGCAAGGAAATCGAGACAAAAAGTAGTAGCAATGAAATTAAGGAAGATTGCAAATAAATCTTTTTCCCCATTTTGCAAAAATTATTCCAAAAAGTAAGAGCTCCACGCAGTCCACGTCCTCATGAACCACTGTTGTAGTGCAATATTGAATACTGCAATTAATCTAATTATTTCTCACATGCATATCTAATTTCATCAGTATTTTTGTACTTTAACCAGGAACAAATGTTTTATCTGATTAAGTATAATGAAAAACCTTTGATCATTTACAGCTACTTATTTCCTTAATCGGACGTTTCACTTATGTAGCATGGATACATAGTTGAAAGGTTAATGTTGGCCAGTTCCTATGATTAAGGATAAGATTCATATATACACTGAAGAAAAAAATAATTGCGTGTGAATTTATGTATGTGCCTATCTATGTATGTAATCAGTGACTGCGGAGGCTGTGGGTATTTCATTTATATGACGGGGACATTACGCCTCTGACCCCAAGCCTCCGCGGCCAGTGTGTGTAACAGTAACGTAAGTAAGCCTTGGAAAAGTTGGAAAAACTTTGAATTCGAATATCTCGGAGGGACAGCTAAAATGAAATTACTTTGTTGTAAAGTAAAAATGAACTAGAGTTTTTGCTCCATCTTTTGGTGAAGGAATTGGGGAAAAAATGAGCAAATACATTTTTGAGGAAATTTACATACTGTGAAAAATAGCACATTGGCTCTTTTTTTAAAATCGGCTGGTTTGTATGTATTACAAAAAATTAGATTTAGATTAACATATCAAGAATTTGTGTTTTTCTCAAAACTTATGGAATTGATTCAATTTTAAAAATTGCATTTAAAGACATTAAATAAGTGCAGGGACAGATTAACGTGCCAAAGCGTGATCCACGGTAGCCTTAATCTGATGCCGAATACGCTTAAATCGGACGGGGTACTTTGAGATGGCACGTATTTAATTTAATACACTGATTGGTTGGTGGTAAAAGTATCGCACTATGGGAAATATGTCCAAATTATCGCTCAAAATTCCAGGAGCACTTTTTCGGAGATATTTTTGCATTATCCGAGCTCTGAGGGGTCGAAGGACTGCTCATAAAAAATTCGGCGAACCACACCCACTTTGGGTGTGGTTTTTTCCTAGTGGAGTTAGACTCAATCGCCATATTTAAAATTGTAGTCCATACGATTGTCGACCTACCATAAAAATTTCATCCAAATCCGTCCATAAACAAAAAAGTTATGAGCCTGGGAACCTCGGCGACAGGCAAAAAACGCCGACTTCAGGGGCGTGGTTCTACGAATGGGGCAGATACCAAACTCCAAAAATAGTAGTTAATGGTAGTCCTAGGTGAGATCCACTTGCTCGATGAAAAACGGAGATCTGAAATCTGCCCCTTCCCAAGATATTAGCCCGGGAACATTGAAAATAATCATGTCGAAATTGTCCAAAACGGATGAAATTCAACATGACGCAGAGCAGCGAAAATTGATATCTAGCTTCAGCTAGGCAGGAAAAGTCGGTCGCAAGTGAAATTAGCCCATGTCGTAAGGGAACGATGTCGACATGTCGAAATTTTGACATGGAGCTAGAGAGCTGAAATTCATAACAAATACTTCTCTACTCTTCAAAATACTTATTCAACAGTTTTTGACCATGTCGACAGCATATTGCCCCAAATATCAGCCTTGGAATTCCTGCTTAGGTGTTTATTACATCAAATTTGCACATTTAGTAATAATTTGTACTTTGAAATTTATTTAGACACAAATTTACTAGGATGATGTTGCGGTCATCATCACGGCAGGGAACCAGTGTTCCAAATTTGAGTAAGTGATGCATGTTATGTTCCGTAATTTTTAATTTGAAAGCACCTTTTTCTAAATAAAAGATATAAATTTTCCTTTCCACCTTCTTTAATACCAGGCACAAAACTTTCTTCCAACTCTGCCGAGAATAACAGCGCCACATCAAAAGCTTTAATGAACCCGTTGGTGAGTCCTAAAAATTTCTAAAATTTCAACATTCTTGACCTATTTAAAAGAAATTGTAAAATTTAAACTTTCTTGACCTATGTAAAAGAAATTCTAAATTTTTGCCAGGTTCTCGACGCCATCTTCGCCCGACCACATTTCGAAGCTGTCCGACTTGAAAATGGCTCGTTTCGTATGTCGCGAGTGGGCCGACGTCGGCGCCAGTTTATTAGGAAAGCGAGCCTTTCTCGACATCAACAAGCTCTTCCGGGTCAAAGGGTCCAGGTCCAGGCCCTCATTCGAGGCGAACCCTGTACACGGCAAGCTGACTCGAAGCCTCGTCATCCGGGACAAATACGACACCCCGGTCAATAGGACTGAAGACGTTATCACCAAAGTTTTCTCCGATCTCTCCTTCAACCTGTCACAAGTCACTCGAGAAATCAAATTTTACGTGTCCACGACTAAACTTGGGTTCACATTTCTTGATGGTTTGCGTGCCCTGAAGTCTACACAGATCCGACACATTTCCATCGTCATCAGGCCCAGGTATCCACTCCTGGATGAAGATGAAGGCCGTCAAGCGTTTGAAAAACTACCCCTTCAACACCACCTGACTTCACTCAAATTCCAGAATCCTTCGCGCAGTGAGCGATGGGGGTCCGGAATTCACGCTTTTCAACACCTGCTCCAAGTATTGATCGATTCTGCCCCCAATTTGACCTCTTTGGACGTCACGGCCTTCTTCTGCCCGAGTTTGGAGGGGTGCAAGAATCTCAAAGTCTTGAAATTTGACTTCGCAAATTGTCAACACGAGGACTGTCCTGCCTTCGGGGTCGCCTCGTTGACAGTGATGTTGGCTCCCGTGAAGGATTCGTTGATCGAGTTGGAATTGAGCGTCAACGCTCATAGATCTCGTGATCAAGTAATTAATTTTATCTACAACTTTATACATAATTATTCATACGTATATATTTTACAATTTATTTACATGCAAATCTCACAGGGCCAGAATCTTGACGTTCCCGTTATGTCGAACCTTATTTCGCTCACGGTCAACGCGGAGTATAAGCACATTCAGGATTTCTTTGACGAAGAGCATTTCCCAAAATTGAACAACCTCTCCCTCAAAGACCAGTACTGCGGATTAGCCGATTTATCAACTCATCTTGACCTATGGAAGCAACACCGAGGAGTTCAATCTTTGGCACTTACGACACGCTGTAATTATCGGATCATGTCGGAATGTGGAGAAAAGGTTGTTCAATTATTCCCGGCCGTGAAGAAGCTTGATTTGACGTTGATCGCATATGGCAACTTTGTCAACGACGTGATGACACCGTTAAATCTGTGGGATCTGGAAGAGACCAAGCTTGTCCTGTGGCAAGCGTGCTTGGCCTCCACGGTGGTTGGAGTCCTAAGAGATATGGCGATTTGGAAGGGTATAAAAATATGGAGGGAATTAATCTAGCTATGAAAATGAACTAAGCTTCCGGTTATTTCATTTTAGGCGTAAAAATGGTTCACTTCGAACACGCTTGGATTAATCGGGACGACTTTTCAGCCAACATTCAAGATATACTTTTGCACAGTAGAGGATTTAAACACGTGGAAATCTCAGGGGTAGTGGTAAGTACTTTAATAAAACAATTTAATGATTTAATTTTTCCTATATCCAATTTTATGATAAATTCTTTCAGAAGCCGGAAATTGTGGAAGTCATGCGACCAATTTTTGAAGCAAGTGGTGCACCCATCCAATTTAACGGAGGTGTGAGACGTAATTAAATTTTTAGTAGGTCTTCGAAAGAGAAAATTGATGAGCAATTAGTGTATATTTACAATGTTAAACTTTTTAAATGTTTTCCATTAACTGATTTCATACAAGTGCGTATAAACATTTTAATAAATTTGTAATTTACATCAATGACGAAGGAAGTCCATTTCTGCACAAATGTACCGCGAAATATTTACACCCCTCAAATCCGCGTAATCCAAAGCTTCTAAATTTTTTCCACCCAAATTTTTCGAAAGTTGGGACGCATCAATTTCCTCGAGCAAAAATTGCTGCCACTTTTTCTTGTTTCTGCCAAAAATGTGTAACACTTCGGTCACATGTTTGGACAAGATACCTTTAAACATGTTGTAAATTGGGAGTGCAAATTCTGGAGCTGTGGGTTAAAATTATTTCGTGTTTTAATACGTATAACCTGATCAATTGCAATAATCTGGAACATAATTTAATAATTTGCATAATTTGGTACATACTGTTTACAGAGATAACCTTATGTGCGAAATATGGATAATGCTGCTCATAAACGGCCAAAATGTGGAAAAATATCGGTATACCTGAAAATAATGCATAAAATTTGCTGATATCCAATTTTTGCATTATACTAATTTTTTTGCACGACCACAAATCTTACATACATCGTAAACATCCCTGTTGAATTAAATTGAAATTTCCCATGTCGAAAATGATCGTTCCTTGCGTCGCATTTTGTCCATTTTCTTGAAACTTTCTCGTCAACGTGGACGCCTCTTCGAACAGTTTGCTGAAATATCTCTTGAGACGCTCCGACTGCCCGGCGACGATGGCACGGCGCAGGTCCCAATCTCCGACCGGAATTGAAATGACGGGTCGTCCCGTTTTATCACAGCCTTCAATGAGAACTCGATACTCGCGGTCGAAATCGGACCAGTCTTCTTGCAAAATGTGGTCAATGTCGTTGTCTTCTCGCCACTGGACATCCTTGAGGAAAAATTATGAATTTTTTCTAAATATGTCATATTTACGACGCATTTGGATTACTGATCATTTGCGGAAATTACTTTCAAAATACGACTGGTTGCTCCAGAAACGTCAAAGTTTTGCTCTGTCATGTTTTTTAAGAGTTTGTACATATAAGGAAGAATGTCTGTATTCAGTTATACATACATAAATACGTAATCTTGGAATCTCCTAATTTGCATATGTACGTATTTATATGTAATTCTGATCTTCGTAAAACTTTAATAAGCTCACCTCTCAACCACCGTATTAAGTAGACATCTTTCGTCATGTATTGGTGTGGAAGTTTGAATTGAACTGCACTTCGAAACTGCAAATTAAAACAATTTAGCTTGAAATTATAAATACTCAAAATTTATGGGCTAGATATAATCGCATTTTCTTAATTAATTAAACATCTATCCAGCTTATATCACATTAACTTCCACCTGCATGAATAAATATTTCTTCATAAACAAGTTTGCCCATAGCAAAATCTAAATTTATACGTACATAATGCACGGTGCATTTTGTTTTTCGCTAAATTACTTGGCAAGTTCCTAAATGTTTTTTTTGCATATGTACATATGCACAAAAAGATAATCTGTTATGATATCAGTACACTCAGTGTATTCATGCATTATCACAAATGCAAAGTATTTACGTACCTGATCCAGTGCTGCTTTCTGGCTACGACTCAAGGTTGTAAACTCCTCAAGCGAAATTTGCAAGGAAATCGGGACAAAAAGTAGTAGAAATGAAATTAAGGAAAATTGAAAATAAATCTTTTTCCCCATTTTGCAAAAATCGTTCCAAAAAATATGTATGAGCTTCACGATTGAATGTATGAATGAGGAATAATGCAAATAATTCTTGCTCACGGATTTATTTAAATAAATAAATTTCATGAGCATTGTTGTATGTGTAGTTTTGCCCAGAAAAACGTGTTATATCATAAAAAATTTGTGGTATAATTCACAGCAACTATTTCCATGCTTACTTTGCCGAAGGTTTCACTTATTTATGTAGCATGCATCATGCATTAAAATTTAACTGCCAATTTGTGGACATGGTTCATAAGTGTATTCACTAATGGGCCGTCCATAAATTACGTAACGCAAAAAGGGAGTCTAAGGCTCCAATGATATCGTGCCTATTTATGCTACACATGATAAGTAGGAAGGGGAGGAGTCCAGAAATTCGCGATTTTTGCGTGACATAATTTATGGATGTCCCAAGGCAAAACTAATTGCATGGATTTACGTGTACATAATCCTGGGGACACTGTCCCTTTTTGTCCCCACGCTTCCGCGGTCGCAACATTATCAGAAATACTGATATGTATTTATTGGCGTAAAGTTTCACTTTACTGTAATTAGCAGTGTCCGGTTATTTATTTATTAATCCCTACTCATCTTGAACCACATGATGGGTAGAGATTGACAAACAAATGAACAAGTGGTCAAGATCTTTATTGCTAATGATCTCTAGTTTAAACCTACACATATTTACTACATAATACCTCTACATTACCTCTACATATTTGCTACATGCTGCATATTCGAGTGTTAAACAAATCATAAGTTTTGTGAATAAATATGTATATAGTGAACTGTGTATTTCCATTAACGTAATCGCATTTGCTAGCAGCATATTTACATACATATCCAGACTCATATTAGTTAATGAGGGTTACTCTAAGTAAGGTAGGAAAATTGTAGATTTCCCACGCTTTAGTAAATTCATATTTTATGGATGCATACATTTAATACGATAATTTAGTTCAAATGCACGGTGAATATAGGTAATATTTACCCGGTCGCGTGTTACCGTACCGATTGTCTCTCGTACCCGGAAATACAACATTATAAATTTTTATTTGTCTATAAAGTTTCTGAAATTTACTGGAAATTCTGAGCTCAAAGATTTAAATATTATTTGTTCGCTTATTCTATTTAAAATAAAATTGTTGAGTATTTTCAGATATTCTAATAACATTAAAAAACAATTTAATAAAACATGACATTATATTGGCTATTCTCACTTTTACAATTTGATTAACCTATGCAGATAAATAGATACGTATGGAATACATTTAATTTAATATTAAAATTATTTAATACATATCATAAATATTCCTAATTTTATTAGAAATTGAATTCAACAGGTTTAACGTGAGGAAAATTTTGAATCGAAATCGACTCACGATAACGCTCGAAAGTTGAGCATACGTAGTAAAGAAGCTATCAAGGTATAAAAATACAAACTATTAATGACGACGTTATCTGAAATCTGGAAACTAATTTTACGCGTCTGCACATACATTTCCTTCAATTTAAACCTAAGTGCTACTCCAAAATTAATTATTAACTTCCTTAATTTGATAACTATACTACATAATTAACTAATTTAGTAGCTTTCCATGAAATGAATTGGGGCACCACTCTCTTTAAAGATGGCTTGCATTTTCTCCACGATTGCCGGATCCTAAAAACCAGGTTAAAAAATTATTATTTACATAATGCATGCCATTTTTTCGATAAATATATTTACATACCTCAACCCCCGAGATTTCCACACTCTTAAATCCTCTCCCATGCGCGATTACGTCTTGAATTGAACCAGACAAATCGTCCTCACGTAACCCAACCTCCTCAAAGTGGACGTTTTTAGCACCTAAATCATTAATTACAAATTTTAAATGACTAAATAAAATCTTCCTTAATTTTTCACCCACGGAAATTTTCTACATACCTTTCCAAACCGCCATATTTTTCAGCACCGCGACCAAAACGGAACATTCATCCACCAAGTTTATGACCACGTTGGACTCCTCCAAATCCCACGTTTTGAACGGCTCCATCATTTCGTTCAGCTGGGGGACGTACTTATTCTTGCAGAGGTCCGTTGATAACTCGAATTTCTTGACGGATGGGAACTTTCGCACCATTTTCTTCGCAAAGCGGTCCTTCATCCAGCGATAACCCAAATTTACCGAGAGAGATTGAACACCTTCGTGTGGCCCCCACAACTTCAGAAAGGCGCGCAGCTCGCACCCCTTAATCTGTTCGTTGAACGAGACGTTTTTCAGTTGGGGGAGGTGGACCTCGTCAAAAAAGTTGCTAATAGGGTACGCAAATGCGCCGTGGATATTGAGCGTGACGAGTTTCGACATCATGTGATCAGCATTGTTCCGTACCTGGGAAATTTGCATAGATAGGATTAGTTTTTATCGAGTAAGGTTTCAAATTTCACAAAAAAAACACTTGAAACTCGGTGTAAGATTTTTTATAAGAATTGTTTTGAAGCCTGTCAATATTTACCATTGTAACAATTAATTCTTCTGAAATAATTTTTCCTCGGTTTTCAAGAAAATGTAAAACCAGAGTTAGGAAGTTTGCCAAACCACTAATATCGAATAGCGTTTCTAAAAATTGTGATTTTTTTACCCTCTGTATCCTTTCAGCTTTAGCAGCTCTGTAGGCCAAGTCCAGCTCGACCACGGAATCCTTAACCTGAGTCAGCATTCTCGTCACACCGGTCAACCTGACCTGACACGTGTCATGGGCACACTTTTCGAACACAAATTTTAGCACTTTGAGGTTCTTGCACGCCTCCAAATTCGGATAGAAGGCTCCAGAAACGTCCAGCCTGGCCAGATTCGGTGCGGAGTCGATCAAAGTTTGGAACAGGGGCTCAAACGCGTGCAAGGCATACTTTATTCCGCCAATGTATCCAAAAACTTTGAACTGCAGAGAGGTCAAACCAGCTTGAAATGGGAGTTTGAGACGTGTCAGAAAGCTCGGAATGTTGTCCACGATGGCGCGTTTGGCGGCGATGTCGACCGAAGTTATGGACACGTGCTGGATGTTTGTCGACTTGAGGGATCGTATCCCTTTGAAAAAGGCGAGGACAAGTTTCGGCTGGGTGACGGAAAGCGTAACTTGGCGAGTGGAGCGGGACACGTTGGCAACGTCGGTGAACACTTTGGTGATCACGGAGGCCTGTTTCCCTTTCGGGACGGACGGGTCGAATTTATCGGAGATGACGAGATGGCGGAGGAGCTCGTCACTCAGGGGGGTCACGATCCCCTGGCGTAACTTAGAGTTTTCGACACGGTAAAGAAAGTTGGCGAGGAGACGGGACCGTTTTACGAGGAGAGGGGCACCGACGTCGGCCCAGTCGCGGCAGACGAGGCGGGATGACTTCAAGTCATTGAGATTAAGTTGGGCGAATATAATGTCGAGAATCTGGAGAAAATTTCGAAATTATTAAAGCACAAGTTTTTTTGTTTAGATTATAAGTGACTAACCAACGGATTCTGTAAGGCTTTCGTCATGGCGTCAGAGTTGTGTCGTCGTGCTTTTTCCGAGCCTGGAATTAAGCAGGAATAATCTTTTTAACTACACAATTAAATTTCTCCCATTCCACTCAAAAGTTTAGAGTAGTATTTATATTTATTCCGCACTTACTAAAAGATACATAACTGCTCCCCTCTCTCGACCGCAACGTCATATTGTGTCGATTTGTTCGACTAAGATCGACAACTTCTGACGTCGTCCTGTTATTGGTGATTGGTTTCATAGCTGAAAATAGAATTTTAACTAGAAATTTTAATTAGAAATCCAAACTGACAAATATGCAAGCAGTAATAAATTAAAACTTGAATCACGTAAATATTTACCTAAATCCTCAATTTTGACGACTGGACTTTCGAACCGTTTGTGGTGAGTATTATCCTGTACAAACAATTTAAAATTTAAAAGAAACATGTATTTACATTTATAAAATACGAAATAGTAATTACTCATTTGGCTGAAAAATGTTACCCGTAAGTTTTGTGGAAGGCTTGATTAGCAATTATGAATTACTATGAATTAAACAAAGTACAGAAGTGTTTATGTTAATAAATAATTTTCTTCAAGTACAGAATATACTTTTCGCTTTTAAATAAAATAAAATACAGTAAATATACGTGCAATTTGTGCCACCTGTTTTGTCGTCACGTCACAACTTAAAATTCTTCCGCCGCCGCCACCACCACCAATGGCAAGATTTAGGTTTCCCACCCATGCAGTTTTATTTTCATGAAAAAATAAAATATATACAAAAAATCCTGCCACGATTTTTTATGAAAATCATTTTATTTTCATGATAACATTTCTCGCATGGTTTTTATATGTTTACAAATTGTGAAAAAATTGCACAAATTTTTTCATTTTTTTTCAATTGCACAAAAAAATTTGTGCAATTTTTTCATCAATTTACTTTGACAAATAAACATATGCATGCCATCGTCATCTGAAAGTACCCCAAAACGTATTCGCGTATATTTCACAATCAGAATCACCAGCACGTATTTAATTCATCGGTTGCCAACCAATTCGTAATTTTATTTATTCCACCTGACAATTTCAAATTTCTGTAGCAAATCTGTGAGTTTGATTTAATTCAAAGATAACAAAAGGTAGGCGAACTTTTAACTTCACTTTAAAGTAACAATGAACGCGTGTATTTTGTATTTTAAATTTGAAAGTTTCTTCTTTTTGCTTTTATTATAGCAAATTTGCAAATACAAACCTTTACTAATAATTTGTACTTGCAGTTTATTTATAGCCAGGATGAAGTTGCGCTCCTCAGCCCGAAGGGTAACCAGTCTTCCAAATTTGGGTAAGGGGTGGATTTGATTTTCATTAATAATATTAGTTTAATATCATCATTTAAAATTCACACGGAGTTATTTTTTAATTAAAAGATATGTTTATTTTCCTCTTTTAATCTACCAGACACCCAAGTTGCCGACAATAACAGCGCCACGTCGAAAGCTTTACGGAACCCGTTGGTAAGTCATCAAGATTTCTAAAAACTTAAACGTTTTTCCCTTATTGAAAAGAAATTCTAAATTTCCACTAGGTTCTTGACGTTGTATTCGCCCAGTTGAACAACTCTGATTTGAAGGTCGCAAGACTCGTCTGTCGCGAGTGGGGCGACGTCGGCGCCAGTTTATTGGGAAAGCGGGCCTTTCTCGACATCAATAAGATTTTCCAGCTCAAAGGGACAACTTTACACCTGGCGACCCCTGTGCACGAAAAGCTGACCCGAAAGCTCGTCATCAAGGAGAAATTCGATCCCTCCGTCCCTGCGAATAGGACTGATGACGTTATCACCAACATTTTTACCGAGCTCTCCTTCAACTTGTCAGAAGTCACGAGGGACATAGAATTCTACATCACGCTGAAAAAACTTGCGATTGCATTTCTAAATGGTTTGAGGACCCTGAAATCGACCCAACTTCAACACATTTCCATTTACATCCATTCGACAAACTGGAATGTGAACAAGGCTCGAATTCAATCCCTTCAAAAATTGCCCGTTCAACAAAACCTGACCTCCATGAAGTTTGAAATTCCTGCAGACACTCGGAAATGGGGGTCTGGAATTCACACATTTCAACCCGTACTCCAGGTCTTGATCGATTCTGCACCCAACTTGACCTCGCTGGACGTCACGGCCTCCTTCTGTCCTAACTTGGAGGGGTGCAAGAATCTCAAAGTTTTGAAGTTTTGTTTTGAGAATTGTAACCACGGAGCCTGTCGTAACTTCGACGTGGCCACTACCACTGTGACCACGATGTTGACTCCCGTGAGGGATTCTTTGATCGAACTAGAATTAAGTTATGACGTTCATAAATCTCAAATTGGCGACCAAGTAATTACAATTTTATTTTGTGCATACTTCATTCATATTTTACAATTTATTTAGTAAATGGAAATCTTGCAGGTCCGGAATCTTGATGTTCCCATTATGTCGAACTTGATTTCGCTCACGGTCAATCCAGGATATGTGTACATCCGGGAATTCTTTGATGAAAAGCACATCCCAAAATTGAGGAACCTCACCCTCCGAGACCAGTACTACGTATTTGCCGACTTATCCACTCATCTTAATTTTTGGAGACAGCATCGCGGCGTTCAATTCTTCGTGCTTCAGATATCCGGAAACTACCGGATTAACTTGCAGCATGGGGAACAGATTGTTCATTTATTCCCCGCTGTTAAGAAACTCGACGCGACCGTGAGCATAAATAGCAATTTGGCCCCCGAGGTGATGTCCCCGTTCCATCTGTGGGATCTGGAAGAAGCCAGGCTTGTCGTGCGGAACGTGTGCGTCGCTTCCGAGATGGCTCGAGTTCTAAAACATGTCGCGAATTGGAAGGGTAATCAAAAATATTGGTGAATATAATATTTGCATGTGAATAATTAATCGGAATTTTGATTTTTTAGGCGTTAAAAGGGTCAACTTCGAGAACACTTACATCAAACAGGACGCCATTGCTGCTTGCTGTCAAGACATTATCTTGTACAGTAGAGGACTGCAAAAGGTGGAAATATCGGGGAGGGTGGTACGTACTTTGGTAAATTTTCATAACCATATTTTTCCTATAGTTGGTTTTGTTTTGTAAAAAATAAATTCAGATCCCGGAGGTGCTTGAAGTCGTGCGCCCAATTTTCGAGGCCGGTGGGGTACCCGTTGAGTTGAAGGGAGGTGTGTATCGGAAGCATGGAATACTTTACTAGTAAATTGATGGTATGTAGGAGGAGACAGGTGATTGATCAGTAATTAGACTGGTTTTCATTAACAGATTTCGTATATAGTTTTAATCAACTTTGACCTTATCACCGCAATTGGTTTGATATATATTTAATAAAGACTTGAAGAATGACAAATTTTAACATGATTATGTATTTCATTCATTAAATTCGCCACAGGAATTGTCAATTATTTAGATTTACATGTTCATTACAATTTTGTAGTGCGCATAATTTTGAGAGCAATTGAAAATATGACGATATTAATTATGTAGCCAATTTAATGAATAATATTTGACGTATGTAAATATTTTAGAAAAATTAGGGTTGGGAAAATTTGCAAAAATAATTGGCTAAAAGTTTCTCTGTAAAGTTTTTAAGATGTCTTACTCTGTGTGATTTACTTACGCACTAATTGACAAAATGAGTAATATTTATCTCAGATACAGAATGGATAAGAAAATACATATCGTCCAGTCTCAGTCTGATTTTAATTTTTGTACTAATCTCACAATTTCGTCATTCATTTCCTGTTTGCATCAATAACTTTACGATCCCTATAAATGAACATTTAATATTCAAAGATTTGAATATTAAATGTTCCATGATTTTGTTACATGATTTCATGTAACACTTTTATCATCTCATTCTTAAACTTCATTAGAAATTACATTAAACAACAGCTTTAGCGTCAGGACGATTTCAGCTTTACTACAAATGCGATAAGTTCAAATTATTGTCACAGTTTAATGAAATTTTGCAAATTATGAATGCAATTTGCGTACTGCGTTATTGCGTATTCCCCATTACTTTATGATCGGTGTATGAAATGCATGCACTTGTCATCTCAGAGTACCCCGCCCGATTCGCGTGTAGTTCGTATTCACAAACAGCAGCAGAAATCAGCAGCTCAGGTAAATAATTTGTTAGTCGCCAATTAATTCGCAATTTTAATCCTCCTTGAAACTAATTTCTCTTCACAAATCTGCAAGTTTGATTCGATCCAAAGATTACAAAAAGGTGAGTGAATTCCGAAATTTACTTTATAAAAATAAACTCTTGTATTTTGTATTTTAAATTAGAGAGCTTCATTCCTTGTTTTTTATCACATGGGAAATTCACAAATAATTCGTACTTGGAAATTTATTTATAGACAAAAATTAAAACAATATGAAGCTGCGATCAGCGTCGTCGACCCGACAAGGAATCAGTCTTCAAAATTTGAGTAAGTGGTGCATTTTATTTTCATTAATATATCATCATTAAAAATTAACATACAGTGTTTTTAAAATAAAAGATATTAATTTTCCTTTCTTAATTCCAGGCACACAGGACGTTCCTCCCAATTCTGCCGAGAATAACAACAGCGCCACGTCGAAAGCTTTACGGAACCCGTTGGTAAGTCATCAAAATTTCTAAAAAACTTTCTTCTTTTATTTTAAAGAAATTCTAAATTTCCACCAGGTTCTTGACGTCGTATTCGCCCAGTTGAACAACTCCGATCTGAAAGCAGCACGACTCGTGTGTCGCGAGTGGGCCGACGTCGGGGCCAGTTTATTGGGAAAGCGGGCATTTCTCGACATCAATAAGATTTTCCAGCTCAAAGGGACAACGTTACACTTGGCGACCCCTGTGCACGACAAGCTGACTCGAAGTCTCATCATCCGAGACAGATTCCACCCCTCCGTCCCTGCCAAGAGGACGGATGACGTCATCACCCAAATTTTTACTGAGCTCTCCTTCAACTTGTCGCAAGTCACGAGAGAAATAAAATTTTACACCACGCTGAAAAAACTCGCCATCGCATTCCTTGATGGTTTGAGGACCCTGAAAGCTACGCAAATTCAACAAATTTCCCTCTACGTATATTCGACAAACTGGAATGTGAACAATGCTCAAATTCAAGCCATTGTAAAACTGCCAATTCAAAAAAACTTGACCTCCCTGAAGTTTGAAATTCCTTCAAATATTCGCAAATGGGGACGCGGGGTTCACACGTTTCAACCCGTGCTCCAAGTCTGGATCGATTCTGCACCCAACTTGACCTCTTTGGATGTCACGGCCTCCTTCTGTCCAAGTTTGGAGGGGTGCAAGAATCTAAAAGTTTTGAAGTTTTGTTACGAAAATTGTAATCACATGTCCTGCCGTAACTTCGACATCGTGGATTGCACCGTGACCACGATGTTGACCCCCGTGAAGGATTCCTTGACCGAGTTGGAATTTAGCTTCGACGTTCGTAGATCTGGCGATCAAGTAACTAGTTTAATCCAGAATTTTGTACATAATTGATGCATATTTTAAAATTTATTTACATGCAAATCTTTAGATCCGGAATATCGACGTTCCCATCATGTCGAACCTGATTTCTCTCACGGTCAATCCGGGATATGTCTACATCCAGGAATTCTTTGATGAGAAGCATTTCCCAAAATTGAGGAACCTCACCCTCCGAGACCAGTACTACGTATTTGTGGAGTTATCAACTCATCTTAACTTTTGGAAGCAGTATCGACGCGTTGAATCTTTCGTGCTGCAGACATCCGGGAACTACCGGATTAACCTGCAAGATGTGGAACGGATTGTTCATTTATTCCCGGCCGTTAAGAAACTGGACGTGACGGTGAGCGTGAATAGCAATTTGGCCACTGCGGTGATGATACCGTTCCGGCGATGGGATTTAGAAGAAGCCAGGCTTGTCGTGCGGAATGTGTGCGTCGCCACCGAGCTGGCTCGAGTCCTAAGATATGTGGCGAATTGGAAGGGTAATCAAAAATATTGGTGGATATATATTTGCATGTGAATAATTAATCGGAATTGTGACTCTTTTAAGGGGGGAAAAGGGTCAACTTCGAGAACACTTATATCAAACAGGACGCACTTTCTGCTTGCTGTCAAGACATCATTTTATACAGTAGAGGACTGCAATAGGTCGAAATATCGGGGAGAGTGGTATGTACTTTATTTTAGTAAACTAATTTTCACGAGCTAATTTTTTCTATGATCGGTTTTGTAAAAAATAAATTCAGATCCCTCAAGTTCTGGACGTCGTGCGTCCCATTTTCGAGGCCAGTGGTGCACCCGTTGAGTTGAAGGGAGGTGTGTATCGTAATCATGGAATAATGCTTTTCTAGTAAATTGATAGTATGTGAGAGGAGAAAGGTATTTTTTAATAAGAGTGGTTTTCAATGTTAGACTGGTTTCCATTAACAGATTTTGTATGTAGTTCGTTACGTTTTAATCAACTTTGAACTTATCACCGCAATTAGTTTGATATATATTTAATAAAGACTTGAACAATGACAAATTTTATCATGATTACATATGTATTTCATTCATTAAATTCGCGACGTCACGTGGGAATTGTCACTAGTTTAGATTTATATTTTCATTACAATTTTGTAGTACGCATAATTTTGAGAGCAATTGAAAATATGATGATATTAATTATTTAGCCAATTTAATGAATAATGTTTGACAATGTAAATATTTTAGAAAAATTAGGGTTGGGAAATTTTGCAAAGATAATTCCCTAAAAGCATATCTGCAAACTACTTTTAAAGATGTGATTTCTATGTGATTTACTTACGAACTAATTGACAAAATGAGTAATATTTTTCTCAGATACAAAATAGATAAGAAAATACATATCGTCCAGTCCTAGTCTGATTTTAATTTGTGTACTAATTAGTAATTACAGGATTTCGTAATTCATTTCCATCAATAACTTTACGACCCCTACAAATGGAGAAAGAAAATGAGTTCTTTAACAAAATCACACATATTAAAATTCCTGAAGTAATAAATTCATTAGTTTTCGAAACCCTGTTAACTCACCGTTCTTCCACAATACTTTCCAAAAATCTGATGAATTTTAAATATGAACATGAATTATGAAAGAAATTTTGAATTTACCGTTTCATTTAATACTGGAATGAAAATATCCTTGGAGATTTTGTTCGCCAAGTAGAGCGCAGTTACGAGGACACTTATCGTCACAATTAACGTGACTAATTTCGATTTCATTTTGTATTTATATTGTATTATTTTTACTCAACAAGAACAGATATTTGGATTTTTAAGAAGAGAACCTTGAAGGCAGCTGGCAGGTTGGATCGACAAAGATCTGACAGAAATCCCGCTTGCTGAAAAGTTGCAGTATGTACTGTCCTCGTACTCTGCTCTGTCACCTCATTTGCATATTTTAACTCATTCGTGAGAGTCATAGAGTTTACTAGAGGTGAGTCGGGCTTGGGCTTTAATCGGGCTAGCCCGAGCCCGCCCAGGCCCATCGGGCTTTGGGCGGGCCGGGCTTTTGAGTTTGGCCTTTGAGTCGGGCCGGGCCTGGGCGGGCTTTACTTGAGTAGGGCTTGGGCGGGCCCGGGCTTTTAAGTTGAGCCCATGAGTCGGGTCGGGCCTGGGCGGGCTTTTCTTGAGTCGGGCTCGGGCTTTACTCAAAAGCCCGACTAATATTTTTCTTGGAGTTAGGAGTAATATGAGAGTCAAAAGTTTGGCCAAAAGCGCACCATTTGTATTTTATACTTGTAATTCACAATTCATTATTAGCTCGCCCGTCCGTCTATCCGTCCGTCCGTCTGTCTGTTGACGAGTTTTTTGCATTAATTGATGCATATTAATAACTCCCTGCTCCATTTTTTCATAAATTAATAGCACCGTTGGTATCTGACAATCGGAAACACCAAATGATGCGAAAAAATTGGGGGCTTTGATGCATAACGCACCAATAATGCATACTACTCGACGGATTTTATTAGACAATTTTGACATAAATTTTTCAAAATTAGCGATGATCGTTGGTAGGTAATTCTGCACCAGTGATGCACAATTTTTGGACTTTCCTCGATGCATAATAATTATTGAGCTATATTGTTTAATTTTTCTGCACCATTGGTGCAATATTGATAAACATTATTGATCTACTTTGTTCGATTTTTCTGCACCATTGGTGTATAAGTGCAAAAAAATTATGTATCTATTTTGTTGCGTTTTTCTGCACCTTTGGGGCAAGTATAACCAAATCATTATTACAGGGTGAGCTACTTCTAACGTTACTACGGTTTATTGTATTCTCATAGGATTTTCATTAAAAAGTAATTCCAATATCAAAAATTTTCAGAATGGAAATGATTGTTGATATTGGTGTGAAAAAATTACTAGCAGGGTTGCACATCTATAGTGTTAAAGGACGGAGAATACAAAATAAGCTTACTGTGCAAGAGGATACATATGCAAAGAAGGTGAGGCTATTGGATCAAGCGAGGTCAGCATATCCTGAAATTTTGGTGTGGCGCCACACCTTCCATTGATGCAGAAAATTACTCCAAGGATATTATCAATCCCCGCATCACAAGCTAGTGATGAGAGAGTGTTTTAAAGCACCGGTTTAACGTTGACCGCCAGTCGCACTGAACTTAGGATTAGTGGCAGTAGTTTGTCCAACCTGACATTCGTTCATAAAAACTACGTTTTTTGTTTACTAAACCTCATTGACACCAACAGTTTTGGGTTTATTTATTTTTGTACCCTGTGAGAATAATTTATTGAATACTAAACCTTTAAAATGTGTTTGTTAAATAATTTGAACTTTTTCATTTATCAATTCGTGTTTCATCAATGCGTAATTTAGAACGCTCTACAAATTGTATTTTTAATTGTATAAATAATTTGTCACGCCATAACAAAAAAGCCCGATTAAGCCCTATGGGCCCGGGCTCAAAGCCCGATGGGCTCGGGCCTGGGCGGGCTTTCTCAACGCCAAGCCCTATAGGGCTTGGGCGGGCTCGGGCTTTTAGAAATCTGAACTTGGGCGGGCCCGGGCTTTTGAGTTGGGCTTTGAATAGGGCTTGGGCGGGTCGGGCTTGGGCGGGTCGGGCTTGGGCGGGCCGGGCTTTGAAAATCTTAGGCCCGACTCACCTCTAGAGTTTACTCAACATGGAAAGCCCGTATCGCCGAAAATGGGCTATTGAGATTTATACAAATGAGGTGACACGCCTAAATACGAGGATAGTATGTACATATATGCACACGTTGTTACTTAAATAAATTTACATGTAAATTTTGCATACCATTTACATATTTACTTATAAATACATTTTTACTAAAAAATTATTTTTTAGTGACGGTAATTAGGAATGTACAGGAGGGTTTAGGGATCTCATGAAGACATGCGCTCTATATAACTCATTGTATGCAACTTAGGATTAATTAAAGCATTTAAGGACACGTATATATCATTTTAGAAATTTTCCATAGAACACGAATAGTGGGTGAAACATTGACCTCAGTACGTTGACTCATTCTACGTACAAATTTGGTCAAAATGCCATATATATGCACATACATATTTACTTGCGTGACCCCCCCTCCACCCATTCGTTCGTCCCACACTGTTAAAAATGTGTGTAACTTAGTGCTGAGTTACTTGCCAGTATACACTGACAGGGGTATTGGTAATTCTGTACAGGGTAAAGTGGCAAACCTATCATCGGGTTGCCCCAATACTTACTCTGTTTAGTCTACTTTGCTTGGATTTAATCCAGAAAGAGTTAACAATGCATAACTTACCCGTGGCAGAGTTATGTGAGTTGGGCGGGAGGTTGGCTCTTACACCACAAAGCAGCGCATTTTCCACTCAATCGCCTTCCACCACGCTGCGAGTGTAATTCGGGCAGTGGAAAAATTTTCATTTCCTTGCCCCCGTTTAACCACCCCCACTCAGAAATGGCAACGCAAGAGGTGCGACGACTTCTGCAGCAGTGCGGATTAGAAGAGTACGCCAAAAAATTTGAGGGTAAATAGTTAATTTAAAGTTGCAAATTGTCGAAATTGTACAATAAATTTTATTCTCATAAATGTGATTGCAATTTTCCCTCTTATTTTCAGAAAACCATATTACCGATGATGAATTGCTGGAGTTATCGAAGGAAGATCTCGCAGACCTCATCCCCAGTATTGGACATCGCTCAAAACTCAGCAAGGCCATTGTTAAGCTAAAATCAGGGAGTATTTACGTATGTTTTAAATGTACAGATAAATTTAGAAATTTAAGGCTATTATCCCTACATTTAACAAAGTTTCATAAACTAAAGCTAGAGAGTGAATATAAATGCCCACATTGTAATGGTTCATTTGCACGCAGGGCTTATCTTGGTCACTTTGCGAATATTTTTAAACTTCATTCCCAACTTTTAAGTGGTGTATCACTTACTGATTGCCATACCGATTTGCTAAATCAAGAAGAGTTAGAGGAAAAAGATGACGAGTTTTTGTCCCCTCCTAAATTAGAAGACTTTTCTGGTCCTGAGTCAGTTATACATTTCGAATCATGCATTGCAAAATTATACGCTAGTATCTTAGAGTCTGGAAAGATCCCCATGGTTAGTTGTACCAAAATCATGTCCGTCGTGAAGGAAAGCATAGCAGAAGTAATTAAAATTAGCGAATTTCGTAACAGTTATAATGGAAATCCAACCAAGTACAGTCCGGTTAGAGATTTATTAGCCGTTTTTGACCAGTTTAGTTCAAGATACAAAATGGATAAGTATTTATTAAGTAGAAATTTCATGATTGAACCCAAAGAAATTGTCCTTGACACCGACATATCCTTTCAGTCTAGAAGTTTGGGGTCACGAAAGCAGGAATATAAGAATGTCACTATGCAATACATTTCTATTAAGAAATCCATTCAACAGTTACTTCGAAAACCAGGACTTTTCTCAATTTTGCAAACTAATAGTAACTTTAACGGTGAAAATTTCTCTTGCTTCCGGGATGGAAAATTTGTAAGAGATTTTAATCAGCCCAGAGAAACAATATTTATCAATCTCTATTACGATGATGCAGAAGTAGCCAATCCTCTGGGTTCAAAAAGTGGAAAACACAAACTAGCAAACTTTTATTTCTCTATAATTGATCTTCCACAACACCTCCTTTCAAAATTGGACAATGTTATTCTTGTTGCATCACTTAAAACCGAGGACTTAAAATTATGTTCCCCAAATTCGGTTTTACGAGTAATTACTAATGAATTGAAGGAGCTTTGGGAGGAAGGAATATTGTTTGTACACAATGGTGAGCAAATTAATTTAAAAATTGCATTAGCTCAGGTATGTGGAGATAATTTAGGATTACATACTCTTTTAGGATTTTCCGAAGGTTTTAATGCAAATTATCCCTGTCGGCGTTGTAAAATGCATAAAAAAGAGTGCCAGAGTGTTTGTTTCGAATCAAAATCTAAACTCAGAACTGTAGCAAATTATTCGTTAGATGTGGAGATAAATAATCTCAGCGAAACATGGTTGAATTTTTCTTCCATTTTGAATACTTTACCATATTTTCATGTCATTAACAATTTTGTCTTCGATATTATGCACGACTTATTTGAGGGGGTGGTGCCTGACTTATTTCATTCCGTTGTAAATTACTTGGTTTCAAAAAATAAGCTGTCGGTTGACAAATTGAATTATCGCCTAGAGTCATATGATTTTGGTCGCCATTACGGGAAAAGTAGGCCGTCACAAATTAAACCAACATTTATGAAGGGAGAAACCAAATCTGGCCAAAATGCTTCGCAAAATATATGTATTGCTCTTTATCTTCCTATTTTACTTGGCGATTTGATCGACACTTCTGATAAAACTTGGTCACTATTCTTGTTATTAACGAAATAGCCAGGATCCTCCTTGCAAATTTTATTTCATCTGGTGGGCTTGTTTTACTTGATTCTCTTATCGCTGAATTCCTGCACCAATATCAGGACATGATTCGAAAGCCATTGAAACCAAAACATCATCACATGTTGCACTATTCTTCCGCCATTAAGCAGATAGGACCCCTTCGTCAGTTTTGGAGCATGCCCTTCGAGGCGCGCCATAAGTTTTTCAAAACAACTGCACATGTCGTAGGCAATTTCAAAAATATTTCGAAATCATTGGCATATCGTTTTCAATTATCTCGTTGTTTTAAGCTGCTTTCTTTGGAAACATTTTCGCCACACTCATTTGCTTGCAATGATTACGAGTCAATAAATTTGGCAGACACGATAGAGAATGAATTATTACTGGGAAAATTTAGCAAATTGGCGACGGATCAGATAGTTGTGACGACTAAAATTACAAAAAATGGCTCTGATTTTGAGGTGGGTGGATATATCTTGTTAGAATATTGCAGAGAAATGCCAATTTTTGGTCGCATTGACAGAATCATTTTGGACAATGACGATTGTCACTTTGTAGTTAAAAAGTTTAGTAGTGAGTATATTGCTCAATATGCTGGATACAAACTTTATGAATCCGGACTATCCATACTTATTGACTCTAATGATGTAAAATATTTGCAATGCTTTTATTCTGCTATATCATTTAGCAATGACTCAGAGCATTTTATTATTCTGCCAATAATATATATTTAAACTTATTGTGGTAGTAAACAATAATTTATTGAGGGGATGTCCAAAAATTAAGATAATTTAACTATAAATGAACATAAGTTCATAACATAACGTAGGTTCACATAACTCCCATTTGCGCCATATGTAAAAATGGGATGTACATAATGCATCACGAGGGGAAGAAGGGTTTGAAAAGTCTGCATTTTTTCGTGAAATAATTTATGGGCGTTCCCTTCAAATTATTATGTAAGTTGTTAATAAATATATAATTTAGGATTCGCAGTCATCAGTTTTTAGCGGATCAATATTAGATGAAGCCGAAATAAGAGAACGGGGGTTAAACATTTCGCCAACATTGTTTAGCAAACCTGAGCGGAAACGTAACCCACCAAATTTTCAGCCAAGCAATTTATTTGTAAGTTAAATCCAGTCTTATTTCATTATCAAGAGCGCAAGGATATGATTTAATTGCGAAAGTTATTGGTTTGGTCTTTACTTAGGAAGACATATCACCAAATCACGAAGAATTGACAACCAGAGAGCCTATTATTAACGAGTCGTCGCAAGGAGAGATCATTAACCAAATCTCCGATCCAATTCCGATAGAGATTGATGGCTCATTTCTGCAATTACATAGTACCGATGAATTAGAATCTGGACCATTACACCAGGTGTGCCATCGGTTTGATTAAGCACATTTTAATTTTTCAGATTAAAGTCAATAGAAAATTGATTAAATTACAGATTAACTTCTCGAACAACAAATCCAATGTCCTGAACGTTCCGACCATGCAGAAAAAATTTTATGGATTCGTAAATGATTATTTTTTGCTATTTATTTTAACAGCCTTAACAATAATTCATAGAAATTAACAGTAATTAATTTTGTAGAGCATCCAGTCCGTGCTTTTGGGAACCGAATCCACTAGAAGAATTTTAAATGAAAAAATTCCGGCCAAAAGGATGCTAATCCGGGAAGATAGGATTGCAGTGACTAATGCGTTGGTTGATGCTTTGATAGCAAATTTAGGAGTTAGGTAGGTACATACTAGTAAAAATGAACCCTCGTTTTAATTAATTTTGCTTATTTTATCCCTTTAAATTCGTTTGATTTCAGTCCAAGCAAAGAAGCTTTACATCAATTAGCATTGGATTTAGTGACTAGTTATCCAGAACTAGGAGATTCTAGGAAGAAGAATTTTGGATCTACAATGTGGTTCCAAAATATCACTCATGGTTCAGGATCACCAGGTTATTTAATGGAACGCATTAAAAACCAGCGCAAGAAATTGGAGTCACGTAAAAACACCGACTATCATGACGAGACAGATATTTTGTCCTCGTGCTGGGATTCTGAACTTGATGATGGTGAATAACTAATTGTAGTAAATAAACATTATTCGTGCATATACATTATTACAACAAATTATAGATAACCCTGAGCCGGATGAAAAAGTTTTAGAATTTTTACGACAGAATAAGGGTCAGGATGTTCTTCCTACTATGAAATCTTCCACATTTATGAGGCGAACTGTAATTCGCGAAGAAATGCAACAGAACTTGGTAGGGTTTCGAAGGATCCCGTCAATTTTACCACGCTTGTTTGATATTAAGGGAATGGTAAGAATTATGTTGTGTACATAATATGCTTAATGCTATTTATATAAAAACATAATCCTTTCCTATTGTTCAGATTGTTGAAGACTTCAATTCGAGACATCCAAGGCTTAGTCTTGTGATGTATGAGCGGTGGCCGAAAGCCTCGAAATTGCTCCTCACCTATGCAGAGGAAAGTGGCGTTGATTATCAAAAAAAATTGGATATTCGAAAGCCAAGGTGTGACTTAACTGGGGGTGAGTTAACAACATTATTTGCTCTTCAACTATAATTACAATTACCTAGCTAATATTCAATGATTTTTAGATGACATAGCATTGATTGCGTTCAGCCTCCTGCCACATATTCTCCCATCCTGTGCTCGTAAAATAAACCCTGCGCCCACTGGGGACAATAATATTAGTCAGTCGGACAGCGGTCCTAAGCCAAAGCGAGTTAAGAGATCAATAAAAGCAACAGATTTGGATGCTCGGAATAGCTTGATAATATTTAGATCTGTAAGTTGAATGATTATATAAAAGTATTAAATTAAGGTAAAAATGACATGAAAGTAATAGCATTTCTTTATTGTAGCCTTAGATACATGGATTAAAAGCTTTAGTGTTTTCTACCTGCCCCCTCCGGTTGAAGCAAAAAATGTATGGTTATTTTTGTTACACGGTATAGCTGGAAAACCCTGCGATAACTCAACATTAACCCCGGTTGTGCAAGCTCTAATCGGCCAAATAATGCCCAGGTTGTAATTTTAACTAGTAAATTATATTTTATTAGTGAAATTTTTAATTGTTGCAATATTTTAAGCAATACTGTTCTTGTAGAATTTTAAAATTAATGAATAATTAATAAAATTCCATAAATAAATTATGTAAACAAAATTGAATGGATCTCAAATTATTTGCATATACCGCTCTCATAAAAAGAACACCGTACTGAGTAAGCAGTACTCCAATAAGGGTTACCGACTCACAGTGCCCTTGTGGAAGCGTTACTCCGCTGAAGGTAACGGTGTACTCAAACGGGGTAAAACGCGTAACTCTTTTGCATTTAAGTTCCCACGTACACCATAGAGAGTGCAAACACTATTAACTCTGCCACGGATAGTATTTTACTCCGTAGGGGTTTATTTATTCTTACAGTGTATCTACAATAGGGACAATGCATGTGGTCTACGTTATATTTCATAATATTTTTGCATATGTAAGATACGATTCATCACGAGGAATGTATCGTACATTCGCACATTTAGCTTATTTTTAGTATTATTTCTGGCTACCATCTAGACATATATACATATTGCGTAATAATCGTGATTTAACAAACTAAAGTGACTAATTATTCACTTTTCATAAATTTTAGTAGATTTATTGTAAAGCCTGTCCAATCGAAACTCCAACCTGGTTCGCAATTATCTACAAGCAAGCATCTACATTAAAAGCTGGTAAGAAATTATATACATATTTCACAGTTAAGTACATAAACATTAAATAATTAACTGGTTTATTTATACTTATTCATTGCAAAGGACGCCGTAATGAAGCAGATATTTAAATAGTTAAATAACCATCTATCTTACTTGCTACATACATAAATACTTCTTTTAGAAATGGCGTTGAAACGGTGGCGAAAAGATGTCGACGAGGTCCTCAAATTGAAAACTTTGGAAAACTGCAATCTCTCCGAAATTATGGAAACTACGGACAAGCTAAATCCATTCAATTTAACGATGACTTTAACCCTTAACAACCGGCCTTACAACGGTCAAAGTGTCAAACTCGTAATCAGGGCAGAACCAGATTATCCCTTTAAATCTCCGAGAGCCAACTTTTTGACGGAAATGTACCACCCAAACATCAACAAGGGACCGGGTGGACTTCTCGATATGGATATGGTGTGCCCCTCAACAAGGGCTTGGAAACTAAACACAACTTTGACAGAGTTTGTATCCGCTGTCATTCAAGTTTTGAACAAACCAACATCTCGTCACGTACTCCGAGCGGACATTTCAAAAGAATAAGCAACAGACGAGAAAGTCTACTTAAAAAATGCGGAAGAGTTCTATCAAATCCAGAGGAAGAATACTGATCAGTAGTATTTGTCAAGAAGATTTTCAATAAATAAATGCATTATTCATGCAGCACCATTCATAAGCACTTGCAATATAAATACATATATGTACATGTAGAAAAACATATGTACGTACATATATACCAAGGTTTGGTGTTAGGTTTAGTGTTAGTGCTTAAATTTTTATTATTGAATTTCAATAAAATTTCAAAATTAAAGTTTCGAAATTTCAAAATTTAAATACCAATTAAAATTTGTATTTGTTAATATTAACAGAAAATACGTGAAGACGAAACTATATACGTACAAATATTTAGGTAAATTATTTAAATGTCAGCATGTAAAATTACCTATTAACAAATAAACCGTTGCAAACGAAATGTTGCAAAGGGGTGAAAACACACGGAATTGTCTTGTGGCACGCCCACAACGTCTTTCTGCACTTTCCCGTCATTGTCTCACGTCTCATTTTGCCCCGTTTTGACACCCTTACCTGCGTACTTCAAAAGTCCACCACAATACCTTTCAATAGACACCCCACATGACAAAAGTCATTTTTCGACATTCGACACCTCCCACACGGTCATGGAGTCGTCGCACGTCGAAATGATGGCTATTTCTGAAATCCCCGCCAAAAAATACGTCTAAGACGGTGACGACAAAAAATTCTACAATTTTCGACTATGGCGTCGTCTACACGGTCACACGGTCATCGCACGTCGAAATGATGGCGATTTCTGAAATCCCCATCCAAAAATACGTCTAAAACGGTGGAAACTAAAAATTCGACACGTTTGACCGTTGGCGTCATCACCGTGGCGCCGTGACCTTACGACCTACAACACCCATCTTCGAACTCATCCATACTTCAAAAATTAGAAACACGTTGACGAAAACCGCATGCCGAAATACGAAACCATTCTAAAGTTATCGTGGATACAGACGGACGGACAAGACATTTCCATAAAGGGGTTTTCACCCCTTAATAAATTACTTACACAAATACTCAATTGACGCGCTATTGATTACTCCAAAACTTAATTTTATGACAATTACAATTCAACACCACCTTAGATACATATAAATAGACGATGGGTTACGAGCTAGCTATGGTGGAGGCATTTTAATTAAAGCTAATTTAGATTGTATCTTGCTAAGAGGCTTATTGGCCGACCTCGTAATGCTTAAAAACATTGGAGACTAAAATTGGCATTACCTTATCAATTGTTAACCGATTTTCAAAATTGCAACTGTTTTGGAAAGCCCAGGTCAATTGGCGAAATATATTTTTCCAGATTTTTCAAATTCGACCACACCCCCTCGAAATTAAGGTCACAAGGTCAAAAAATCTGCAAAACAGGATTAATACTTACAGCTGAAATTCATGGCACTAAAATCTAATTGCATGCCAAAACAATACCTCCACCCCCTGGCTACCCTTAAAAATGTTCAAGTGGTTACATGCCCCACCCCCAGTGGGTGTGGTCGTCAGCGACTTTTCGATTTTAATCAAACCATGTCATGTGATATATCATTTTGCTCAGCTCGACGAGGGGATTCCGACTAAATATTTAAATTTTACGAACCACACCCCCAGTGGGTGTGGTCGTCAGCGACTTTTCGATGTTAATTAAACCATGTCATGTGATATATCATTTTGCTCAGCTCGACGAGGGGATTCCGACTAAATATTTAAATTTTGCGAACCACACCCCCAGTGGGTGTGGTCGTCAGCGACTTTTCGATGTTAATTAAACCATGTCATGTGATATATCATTTTCCTCAGGACGATGAGTGCATTACGACTCAATACTTAAAATTTACGAGCCACACCCCCAGTGGGTGTGGCTCTCAGAAACTTTTAGATTTCAATGAAACCATGTCATGTGATATATCATTTTCCTCAGGACGATGAGTGCATTGCGACTGAATACTTAAAATTTACGAACCACACCCCCGGTGGGTGTGGTTCTCAGAAACATTTAGATTTCAATGAAACCATGTCATGTGATACATCATTTTTCGCAAGACGATGACGACATTAGGAATCAATACTTAGAACTTTAAAACCACCCCCCAGTTGGCGTGGTCCTCGGCGACCTTTGGATTTAAAGCAAACAATGTCATGTGATATATCATTCTTCTCAGCCCCATGAGGTGATTTCGAATGACAAACTAAAATTTTAATACCACAGCCCTAGTGGGTGTGGTCCTCGGCGACTTTTCGCTTTTAACGAAACTATGTCATGTGATATGTCATTCTGCTCAACTTGATGAGGAGATTTGTATTGAATATTTTAAATTTAATAACCACGCCCCTAGTGGGAGGGGTCCTCGGCGACTTTTAGATTTTAACGAATCCATGTCATATGATATATCATTTTTGTCAGCTAGATGAGGAGATTTCGATTTAATATTTAGAACTTACGAACCATACCCCCACTGTTCGTGGTCCGCGGGGAGCACACTGTGTTATGGTTGTCTACATGATTCTTAATTTTGCGGAAGCCATGGATTTGGGAGTAACTTTTTTCTTCACCCAGTGGTCGTGGTTTCTAAATTTAATGATTCGCTCGAAAATTTTTAATGCGCCTGAGTAAAATTGGACTTAATTTTTCTTTGAAATCGTAGACACACTGACAATTGGATGACGCCAGTGGTCTCATTCCGATTTGGACGAAACCACGATAATTATATAGCATTAGATTAATAATTATACCCCGTGTTTCGGGATTCTTCATAATGCTCAGTTGAAACGAAATTATGACGGAATCTATGAGCGGGAATTTCCATTTTTACCGTGACATTTTCCTCGCGAGGGGGAAAAGTACAGATTCTCGCTTAAGGATTCCGTCATAATTTAGATTAAAATGCATGAGCATGGCTTTCTCCAACTCCGAAGTTTTGAAATTTTTGAATTTTAAACATTTCTGCCAGAATTTTATGATGCGTCTCTATTTTACGTGTTTAAACTTTGGTACAAATTTTGTGCCCGAAATTTCTGGCTTCGAATGTGAAGTCATGGACTCAACCATCGTAGTTAATCATTCTAAATCACCTCATGGGGCTGAGAAGAATGATATATCACATGACATTGTTTGCTTTAAATCCAAAGGTCGCCAAGGACCACGCCCACTGGGGGTGTGGTTTTAAAATTCTAAGTATTGATTCCTAATGTCCTCATCGTCTTGCGAAAAATGAGTCGCCGTGGACCCCACCCACTAGGGGCGTGGTTATTAAATGTAAAATATTCAATACAAATCTCCTCATCAAGTTGAGCAGAATGACATATCACATGACATGGTTTCATTGAAATCTAAGTGCTTCTGAGAACCACACCCACTGGTGGGTGTGGTGTAAAATTTTAATAACTCTGTCGGGGTCCCCTCGTCGAGCTGAGAAAAAAGATGTGTCACATGACGTAGTTTCGTTAAAATCGAAAAGTCGCTGAGGACCACACCCCCTGGGGGTGTGGTTCGTAAATTTTAAGTATTCAGTAGTAATGTACTCATCATCCTGAGAAAAATGATATATCACATGACATGGTTTCATTGAAATCTAAAAGTTTCTGAGAACCACACCCACCGGGCGTGTGGCTCGTAAATTTTAAGTATTCAGTCGTAATGTACTCATCGTCCTGAGAAGAATGATATGTCACATGACGTGGTTTCATTGAAATCGAAAAGGCGCCTATGGTCACATCCCCTGGGTGTGGGGCATGTGACCCCTTGAACATTGTTCAGGGTGCCCAGGGGGTCGAGGTATTTTTTCGACATACAACTCGATTTTTGTTCTTTCAAATTCATGTGTATGCATCAATTGTATTTTATGTATTTTTTGAAATTGTGACCTTAATTTCGAGGGGGTGTGGTCGAATTTGAAAAATCTGGAAATATATATTTCGCCAATTGACCTGAGCTTTCCAAAACAGTCGCAATTTTGAAAATCGGTCAACAATTGGTAACGTAATGCCAATTTTAGTCTCAAATGTTATTAAGCATTACGAGGTCGGCCAATAAGCCTCTCAGCAACAATTGGCTTTAATTTTAATGCCAGCACGATAGTGACCGCGGAAGCGTGGAGACAGAGGGAGAGTCCTCACGGTTAGTTCCCACGAAGCAGGACCAGATCAAAGACTAAATTTGACTTAGGGGCCGTTCAAAAATTGTGTAACGGGAGATGCGAGAGAAGAGGTCTACTGATATCGTGATATTGTCTAAAAATTCCTAGTTCGGGCTTTGCAAAATTTCCTTTAGAAGTTTTTGAGCTTGGAAAAAATAAACTCACTGATGAGTACCCCAACGCATAAAGGAATTGCATATATCCACCCAATAAATACAGTTTGTATGCTTCCATTAAGACTAACCTTCATTGAAGACATCGAAACACTTTTTACTGCAAATATCATTGCTTCAATTTCCCTCGTCGCATTTCGACTTTTTTGATATGCATTTCGCTTTTCTGCTATCACCAATCTCCCATAAATTCCCGAGTCCAACAGACGTTTGAAAGTTGTCACAATTCGATCGTCTGACACAGTTTTAAAGGTCCAGCCCATAACTCCTCCGTAAAGATAGTCTGTGCTGATATGAAATGGTTTTGACCATGGGTATCTCAGTGCCAAGTTATCTCTGTAAGCTACCACATCTTTCAGCGATGCAAAATATACAGATTTATCACAAAGTAAGAGTTCTTCTTCTATTCCAAGTGGAATTTCGCTAATATGTATGTCAGCCTTTCCAATATTGGAGCACAGTCGAGTCAAAAATCTTTTCGGGAATGGTCGATGACCTGGACTCATTAACTCATTTGCTAGCTGATCTATTGGGTAGGGCATTAAGCCTACGAACCTAAAATAACCTCCGAGAAATCTAACAAAAGAGTAACTCTGTGGGTAGAGGTAGTCTGAAACTGTCAAATCCATTGGTATTTTCATGTATGTATATATTT